TTGTTGGATAGACGCTTTAAGTAGGATATAGTGTCCTTCCTCATCTCTTATTACAGTCTTTGGTTTAAAATCTAATTTGTCTGATATAAGGATTGCCACCCCAGCTTTCTTTTGGTGTCCATTAGCATGGTAAATAGTTTTCCACCCCCTCACTTTCAATGTGGGGGTGTCTTTGGGTCTAAAATGAGTCTCTTGCAGACAGCATATCGATGGGTCTTGTTGTTTAATCCACTCTGATAGCCTGTGTCTTTTGATTGGGGCATTTAGCCCATTTATATTCAGGGTAACTATTGAAAGATATGAATTTAGTTCCATTGTATTGCCTGTAAGGTGACTGTTGCTGCATATCGTCTGTGTTCCTTTCTGGTCTATGTTGCTTTTAGGCTCTCTCTTTGCTTAGAGGACCTCTTTCTATATTTCTTGGAGGACTGTTTTGTGTTTGCAAATTCCTTTAGTTTTTGTTTGTCCTGGAAGCTTTTTACCTCTCCTTCTATTTTCAATGACAGCCTAGCTGGCTGTAGTATTCTTGGCTGCATATTTTTCTTGTTTAGTGCTCTGAAGATATCATGCCAGTCCTTTCTGGCCTGCCAGGTCTCTGTGGATACGTCTGTTGCCAATCTAATGTTTCTACCATTGTAGGTTACAGATCTCTTCTCCCGAGCTGCTTTCAGGATTTTCTCTTTGTCTCTGAGACTTGTAAGTTTTACTATTAGATGTCGGGATGTTGACCTATTTTTATTGATTTTGAGAGGGGTTCTCTGTGTCTCCTGGATTTTGATGCCTGTTTCCTTCCCCAAATTAGGGAAGTTCTCTGCTATAATTTGCTCCAATATACCTTCTGCCCCTCTCTTTCTTCTTCTGGGATCCCAATTACTCTAATGTTGTTTTGTCTTATGGTATTGCTTATCTCTTGAATTCTGCCCTCGGGATCTAGTAGTTATTTATCTCTCTTTTTCTCAGCCTCTTTATTTTCCATCCTTTGGTCTTCTATATTGCTGATTCTCTCTTCTGCCTCATTTATCCTAGCAGTTAGTGCCCCCATTTTTGATTGCACCTCATTAATAGCCTTTTTGATTTTGACTTGGTTAGATTTTAGTTCTTTTATTTTCCAGAAAGCGTTTCTCTAATAACTCCCATGCTTTTTTCAAGCCCAGCTTGTATCTTTAAAATCATGATTCTGTACTCTAGGTCCGACATCGTACTAATGTATTGAGTAGGTTCCTGGCAGACAGTACTACCTCTTGTTCTTTTTGTTGTGGTGATTTTTTCCATCTTGTCTATTTGTCCAGAGGAGAATAGGTGAATGAGAGAACAAAATGCTAACAGGGCAACAACGTCCCCAGAAAATATACTCTAAACAAATCAGAGAAGACCTGAAACCAGGCGACAAGAAAGGGAAAGAAAGAAAAAAGAAAAAGGAAAAAAAAAGATAAAGATAAAAGCAAACAAAAACAGAATAAAAAAAAAAACAGAATATGATCAAATATGATCAGGCTGGTGCATAGATCAGTGCCACACACTAGATTTTGGGTGTCTTTTTGTCTGTTAGAAGAAAGTGCCTCCCAAAATTTTAAAGAAAGAAAAACTTATATATGTACAAAAATAAGGGTTGATACAATGAAGGGATGGAATATGACTGTAAAATGAAAATTATAAAAAATTTTATAAAAGGAATTGGTAAGAAGTTGTTTGAAAACAGAAAGAAGAGGATTTAAAAAAAAAGTAAAAAAAAGGGGAGAGAATGTGATCAGGCAGGAGACTAGAACAAAGCCATACACTAGAGATTTAGGGTATATTTTGATCTGTTAGAAGAAACTGTATCTCAAAATTTAAAGAGAGAACAAGTTATATATATATGCCAAAAATAAGGGTAACTACTATGAAGGGATAGAATATGACTCTAAAAATGAAAAATAAAAATGTTTTTTAAAAAAGGGATTGATAAGATGTTGGTTGAAAAGGGAAAAAGAAAAATTCAAAAAAAATTTTTTTAATTAGAATAAGAAAAAAAAGAAAACTAAAAAAATTAACTTTGAAAGACTAAAGAATCATGGTAAAAAAGCCATGAATTCTATGTGCAGTATTCTCCTAGTGCTGGAGTTCTGCCGTTCTCATTGATTGGTAAACTTGGTCTTGACTGGCAGTTCTTGCTGATCTTCTGGGGGAGGGGCCTATTGCTGTGGTTCCCAAATGTCTTTGCTGGAGGTGGAATTGCCCCAACCTTGCTGGGTCCGGGCTAAGTAATCTGCTCGGGTTTGCTCTCAGGAGCTTTTTTTCCCTGCAAGCTTTCCGTACAGCTTTGGAGGATGAGAGTGAAAATGGCGGCCTCCTAATCTCCGCCCAGAGGATCTGAGAACTTGGGGCCCCACTCCTCAGTGCGCCCCCAGAGAAAAGCAGTCAATCACTCCCATCTCCCCAGTCTCTGGCCGCACTCCGTGCTCACCCAGCCTGTGACCGAGCGTTTCTATCTCTGGCACCCAACTTGGTGTGGAGTCTCCAAACCCAGCAGATCCCTGTGGTGCACTCCCATGCCGCTCCTCCCAGGGGAGGAAGGGGAGTCTTCCCAGATCTGCCGCTTGTTGGGTCCCTGCTTCCAGAAAGTGGTCACTTTTCTGTTCAGAGAGTTTTTGCTATTCTTTTCTTCAATCTCCTGTTGAGTTTGTAGGTGTTCAGAATGGCTTGATCCCTATTCAGCTGAATTCCTGAGACCAGACGAAATCCAGGTCTCCTACTTCTCTGTCATCTTGCTCCGCCCTCCTCCCATTACATTTTAATATTTGGATTATGATATTATAAAAAGCTGCAGTAGAAAAAAATACTGGATTTAAAGATAAAAAGAATGAGGCAGTCCAGGCACCCGCTCCACTGTATAGCAATTGTATATTCTTAGGCAAGTTACTTAACCTCTGAATTCCATTTCTGTATCTATAAAATTAGATTAATTCCTCATAATATGGTCATGAATATTAAGTTATTGTATGCCAAAAACATTTTTAAAATGGTAATTCTCAACACAAATGGTAGTATTAATAGTAACAGGAATACTAACCATAGTACAGGGGTACCATTACCTTGACTTGGGTGAACCTTCCAATTTGGGTGTGTCAAAGGGATTTCTAGCCTTTGCAATTACTTTTTTTTTTTTTCATCCAACAAGAAGCCATAACTTTATTAATGATTGCAATTACTTTTTAATGAACATATTCAAACTATTCAAACTTCTTTCTCTAAGCAACTTTCAGTGTCTTTTCAAATGAATCACATAAATATTAAAATTTGAAACAAAGTCTATTATCTTTCTCCTTCACACTATTTCTCCTTGAGGGCCAATCGGTGATTCTCTCTTCTGTTAACTTATCTCAATTTGCTACTAATGTGGGGATTTAGTAAAGCAATTGAAGAATTCGAGGAAGGGGAAAATTTAGAATAATTCATGAGGAAAATAATTGTTTTGTTTTTCCAAACTGCAGGGTGTGACATTCAAGAAGCCGATGTGGTTTTCTTTTGTGATGGCTCTGACATGGTCTCCCACTCACAGTTTGTTACCATGACAACTTTCGTGTCAGACTTAATTGATAATTTTAACATTCAGAACCAGAGAATAAAAATCGGGTTGGCTCAATTTGGGAGTGGCTTCCAAAAAATTATCGAGTTGAAAATCTCTCTGACTCTACCGGAGTTGAAGACTCAAATTCAAACCATCACCAAGAGCAAGGGGTTTCCGCGAATTGACCAGGCCCTTAAAAAAGTGAAAGTCATGTTCGATCCGTCTTCTGGTGGGAGAAGAAACGCTGGTGTCCCTCAAACTTTGGTTGTTATCACACCCAGGGATCCCCCCTATGATGTGGCAGATAAAGTGAAAATACTGAGAAACCTCGGAATTTGTGTCCTGGTTTGGGGCATAGGGGATGTTCATAAGGAGCAACTTCTGCCGATAACAGGAAATTCTGAAAAAATAATCACCCTCCAAGACTTTAATAAATTAATGAATGTGGATGTGAAAAAAAGAATGGTTCGTGAAATCTGCCAGAGCTGCGGGAAAACCAGTAAGTGCTCCCCTTGGTCTTTTTTGTTTTTGATTTAATTGCCACCTTCCTGGGGCTTCATTTCCCCAAGGTATCCTGGGGGCTGGCTCTAGTTGAACATATTTTTCGAATAGGGTGCAGCGAGAATAGACCTCTCCTCTGTTTCCAGGAAGCTTGGGATCAGCCAGCCTTGCTCAGAGACGAGGAAAAGGGTGCAGAGGCTGGAGGAAGTCCTGGGTTGTGTCCTCTGGTCAGCCCTGTCCCCTCACTGCAAGCCAGCCTTTGTGCCCCTCTTACCACTGAGAGTCAGTCTCCTATTTCTGCTCCCTCCACTTGTGGCAGGCCGAGAATAATGCCTTGTGTCCAGTGGGAAGTAAGTAAAACAGACACTGGCTGGTTGGCAGCTTTACTAAGTTTTTTAAACCATCTTGTAAGGGACTTGGTGTTCCTGTGTGTGTCTCTGTGTGTTTGTCTGTTTGAGCCTATGTGTGGGCATATTTTCTTCTTCTTTTAATGATGGCATTTGTATAATCATAATATAGTAAAGATTTGAATTTGTCCTTAGTGATTATTTGATTCCCAGAGGTCACAAACACCAATGGCTGCAAAGGCCAGGAGGGTAAAGTAAGTGAGTCAAGAGGGCAGGGAAGGAAGGAAACGAAGGGATAACAATGAGCCATCTGATGGTGAGGCCAAAATTCACTCCAGCTGAGAGTCACTGTGTAGGACTCAGGTTCTGTACATTTGGGCTAGGAGTTGAGAGGAGAGTACCTCAGGATATAACATTTTGTGGAATCTGTACAACATGCAGAAATTCCTTGGCGTGCTTCTGTTCCTAGAGTTATGGCTGAAACCACTTCTTTCACAAAATGGGTTGGTCTTTCCAAGCTCTCCAGATCTTCTACACCCCATTTGGGATGCTCGGCCGGAAGCAGATTACAGTGGCGGAAAAGGCTCTGGCACCGGAATCCGAAAGCCAGGGTTCTTGCTCTGGTGCAGTAGCAGCAACCTCCAGGAATCATGATTTCCTCACGTGTAAAATGAGCAACTGGGCTGGGTCAGAAGTGACCAAATGGCGACTTGCAGCTGAGTTGTGTTAGTCCTGTCTGCTGTTGACAAATTGTTAAAATTAGTTGACAGCTTTTACAAACTGAAGGTTTCACATGAAAAATAGAAGATTTCAGGCTTTCCTTGGAAAAATCAGGCAATCTGACCACACTGGGCCCCTTCTCCCGCATGGTTACTCTCAGTGGGAGTTGAGCAGTGAACAGATGGGTTGTTGTTCTCCATTCATTCTCTTTGCTTGCTCCCTGTCCATCTAACTCCTTTACATTATCCACCTGGCCTTCATAGCCATTTGTGTTTGTGACCTCTGGATTAAATAATCTTTAAGGATATTTCAAATATTTAATATGTTATGATTATATGAATCATAATATGTCATCATTAAAAGAAGAAAATATGCATGTGCGCACATGCACACACATTCACACACACAGCCAGCCACTGAAAATGAGGCTAAACCATGATTGGAACTTGAAATAGCTATTGGAACTTGAAATATTTGAAAGAGGAGAGAGGAAATACCTGTGCTGATCAAGCAGCCAGTATCTTCCTTCTTGAACACTGGATACTAGGGACCCTCCAGCCCTGGGCCATGCCATGACTGCTCTTCTTTTTTCTGCCTGGTCAGCTCTTCCTTGCTCCTGTCTACTCATTAATCTGGCCTCATTTCCCTTGGTCTCCAGATTGCTTTATGGACATAGTGGTCGGGTTTGACATTTCCACTCACCTGCTGGGGCAGCCGCTGTTCCATGGCCACCCCCGGCTGAAATCCTACCTCCCAGGCATCTTAGAGGACATCACCTCCATCAGGAGGGTCAGCTGTGGAGCAGGCACAGAGGTGCAAGTGAATGTGGCCTTCAAGGTGAACAATGACCAAGAATTCCCTGCCAAGTTCCAAATCTACCGGAAAGCAATATTTGACAGCCTGCTGCAAGTCACTGTCAATGGCCCAACACATCTGAATGCACAGTTCCTGCAGTCGCTGGGGGATACATTTAAGGATAGATCTAAATCCCAAGGACAGGTACTCATATCACATTCAATCTCTCATCTCCACATTCTTTCATTTCTTCCTCCCCAATTATATATTTCATTTTCACATCATTCCATCCTCTGCTTTTCTCTTCCTCTAGGTGCTACTCATCTTTTCAGATGGTCTTGGGGGTGAAAGCGAGATAATGCTTGAAGATCAATCGACCAGGCTCAGAGAAGCAGGTACTGAGTTGCAAATTTAAGTGGTGAAGCATAGAATATGCTAACAAGTCCCTTCTTACTCAGGTGTTGTAGATCTTGGGGTCTGTCTGGCCACTGGTAGCAGATGCTGTTGATGCCTCCCCAAACCCTGTTGACGCCTCCCCAAACCCTGTTGACCAGCCTGTACACTCATCCCCCAAATGCCACAAATGCCATGGCCAGGTACTTATACCTGTGCCCTTCTACAGTCATGTGTCCTTGACTGACCTGAACCATTACCTTGGAGTGGGGGTGGGTTTATACCATGTCCCACCTGGAAATGGAAGGGGATAAAATAAAAATAAATAAATAAATAAATAAATAAATAAATAAATAAATAAATAAAATAAAATAATTGATATAGGGATAAAAAGCCTAGCACCCATGCCTCAAGCGGGTCAACTCTGATATAGTTTACAACCCGGAGTCCGTTATGAATCATACCAAGTTGAAGATTTTACTGAGACACATTCTTGCTTACAACTTTCCCCTCCCTTTCCTCCACCTCTTTCTCCCTCAATAAACCACGTACACACAAATTCCTCTCTTAGATTCTGCTTCCAGGGCTCCTGACCTAGGACACTCCCTACTGTTTCTGATTATTCATGTGAAAGATAGCCACACAGATCTTGAAAAACACTTCTTAGTATATATATATATATATATATCCCCAATCTATGTCATAGTTTCAGACTGAACTGGGAGCTAAATGCAGAAGTTGAGAGTCTTATACAGTGACATGAGGCTCCAGTGATTGTCAGATGCGGTGCATTATTTGAGACTTCCTGGGTATAGACTCACACTGGCTTCTGGGGTTTAATGTCCACGAGCAACCTCCCTAGAGGCCACAAAATTTCCTGCTTGATTGCTGGGTTGTATCATTCTCCTTTCCCACTGTTCTGGGCACATCACATTCCTCAGTGCAGCCTCTGGTTCTTTACAGGGTCTGGCTCCGCTCCCCACTCTGGCCTTCCCTCACTCCCCACACAGCATCTTAGGCACACAGAGCCACCCCCTTCTTCCTCCAGCACGCTTCACACCTCAGTCCCCCAGGCCTCCATTCCTGGCATACACTTTTCTTCTACCTAGAACTCTCCCCATCTCAGCTCCTCCCCAGTTCTTCTCCACCTTCTGTCTCTGGTTCTCTGCCTTGGCCAGCTTCCATTCATCCTTCAGGATCAGCGTAGACGTCAGTTCTTCCCAGAAACTTTCTACGACTTTCTAAGGCTAAGCTGGGAGCTTTTCCTTTAGGCTTTCAAAGCACCCTGCCATTCCCTCTCAGGACATTTACCACTACTCGGAGCAGCCATCTGATTGCTGTCCACCTTTTCCATTGGACTGGACAGAATGTGCCTGTCCTATTCATCTTGTGTCCCTGGTATAATGATTAATACATAATAGGCTTCTAATAAGCCAAGATTTGCTTAATGAAAGTTGGGTAGAGTAAATGGGCTAATGAGTGAATTAATGCGTGAGTGAATGAATGAATGAATGAAGTCCTGGCTATGGCCAGGTGTTCACCCTGGGCTTTCCTCAGGCTCATAGGGCCTGGGCACCCAGGGGTGTTTGGCCATGGAGATGACTTTGAGAACGATTATTAATTTACATCGAGAAAAATTCAGAAAACCTCTGAAGATGAACAACGCCCTTTCTTAAAAATTGCTTTCAAATACCCAAGAATTGAATCAAAACTTGGTGGTGAAGCATTAAACAGTTTTCTGCTAGTGTTTTTCTGTCGGGTTTGAAGCCTGAACAAGCAAGTAAGCCTGTTGGGTTCTTCATACATCAAGAGTCCTACTTCTTCTTATGTTTCCTTTTCCCTTTTCTGGTTCTCTGAACATCACTCATCGAGTAGAAATATGATGGGCTTTCCTTCTCTTTCATGTGCAACCCCTTTGGTTTTGAATCTCTTATGTTTACTGATTAGGACTTGATGCTCTGCTGGTGGTGTCCCTAAACACGACTGCCCACGATGAGTTTTCCAGCTTTGAGTTTGGAAAGGGATTTGATTACAGAACTCACCTGACCATTGGCACGAGAGAAGTGGGCAAGATGCTGTCACAGTACCTGGTGAGCTGTGGAGCAGAAATGCAGTTATTCAAAAGGCCATCGGAATGAAATTGGAGTTTTGATGAGTATTTCTAGAGACTGCCTTACTTGCCCCACTAAATGAAGTGCATGGTCTTTAGTAGATGAAAAAGTATGAAAGACTAGAGCAGTGTATTTTTATTTTTGTGTGTCCGTCCCTCCTTTATCATCTCACCAAATGAATGTATGGGGAATGAAAAAAACAACCAGCCCCTAGTCACACAGAAAAGCTCCCAGCAGTTTATACTGCAGAAATCCCCAGAAAACAAGAGTCTGTCAAGGAGGAGCCAACTAGTCTTGTGCAGACTTAGCCTGCGGCCGTCCGTGTGGCAGGTGCCCTTTCTATAGACAGGTCATTTCCTGGGAGAGGGAATGATGCGTCTCAGTTGCTAGCTCGGTGCCCTGTCTTCAGTATTAAGTCAAAGAGCACCTCTGATCCTCTGCAACCCCTCCCCCAAAGAGAGAGGATGGTCGTGTAGGTGGTGCGTTATGATCTATATGAATACGGTTCTTAGGCCGTGAAGTTCCTGACCATTGTTGCTCACTCAAGTTTGCTTTTTCCAGGGAAACATTGCAGAGAAGACTTGCTGCTGCACATTTTGCAAGTGTTCAGGGCCTCCAGGTTCTCATGGATCCCGAGGACTACAAGCCACGAAGGTGCCATTCAGTTGTGAAACTATTTTACCCAGTGTGCCTTGATTTGGTGGGTGGGACTGAGGCCAAGTAGTGCACTTTGCAGCTTTCACTTGATGCTGATGTAATTGCTTTGGGCATTTATTCCATGCGATTTCTGTGGTATAGGACCCAGTTCAGAAGGACTCACTTTTGATACTGCCGTTAAGAATGAATCCCATTTTTCTTACATATCGTTCGTGACGTCGCTCCTTGGCTTTGCAATTTATACTTTCACACCTGCTTTAAACAGTTTGAAGAGTGCAAGAGGTGTTAGAAACAGTGGCGAAGGTTGTATTTCCTCAGTCATGAATGAAATTGAACCTCAAGAAGAGCAAAGCATTGCAGATTAATAGCCCTTTAAAAATGAATTCTAGAAGATCAGTTACACAACAACAGCTTAAATAAATATGTCATGGTGTCTTCATTAATGGAATGCTCTAAGGTGCTGAGGCTGAATGAACTACAGGTACATATAACAGCATGAATAAGTTTTACAAACACAGTAATGGCAAAAACAAAGAAACAAAACAAAACGCAGAAGCATACATAGAGTATGATTCCATTTATAAAAGGTTTGAAAGGAGGCAAAACTAACTTATGTCTAGGGGTGAATAATTCAGTAATAAAGTATAAAAAAGGCAAGAAAGTATTGTCATAAAAGCCAGGAGTGTGCTCCCTGGGGTGGGGGTGGGGGTGGGAGTGACTGGCATTGGGAGGGCAGCGGGCTGCATCTGGGTGCCAGTGATGTCCTATTTCTTGGCCTGGCTGGTGGCTACATGGATGTTCACTTTATAATAATTAAGCTGTGACTTTATATTTCATTTATTTTATGTACTTTTTCAAATGCATTTTAGATATCATAATTAAAAGGAGTCGTCTTCTCTTTTTTTTTTTTTTTTTTGATTTTAGAGAGCAAATGTAATACTTGCTCATGAGTTCTGCATTGTGCATCCTTGTGGGTACATGATCTTGGCCTTTTTACCGAGTTACGATGTTTTGTTTAGCACAGTTTCCTCTCTCCTCACTTTGCTCTGGTCAGTATTAGAGTTACATTCCAAGAGCACAGCTCCCAGGTGTACTAAGCAGACAGGCAGGACCTGTGTTACACGGTGAGGAAAGCAAACCTCTGATTAAACCTTTGCCACCAATAAGCCACAAGGCAGTTAAACCACACGTGGCAGAGGGAGAAGTGATCGCAATTGAAATGTATGTAACCTCCTTGTTGGGAGAAGTGCTTTTTCTTCCTTTAGCTCTCAGAAAAGCAAAAGGAAATAAAATGATCTCTGGAAATGTGATCGATTTGCCTTCTAGAAGAGTTGTAGGGGCCACAGCTGCCCACCATGCAGCCCCTCAGGCACAGGATCTGCCCCGACGCCCTGAGCTGCAAAGTGGGCTCCGCAGGTCAGCCTCTGGTAGGAGTCAGGGGTTGTCAGACTCTTCCCAGACTCAAAGCCACCCCTGTAAACGCTGCCACCAAGTTGAAGGGAGGGACTTGTCTACAATGCCTAACGATTTCACAAGTTCAGATTGAAGAAAGCTGGCTGAAATGTATTTTCTCTCTATCCTCCCAGGGTTCTCCAGGTCTGAAAGGCAGCAGAGGACACTGGGGAGAGGACGGAGACCCTGTAAGTTTTTCTGACCTTCCTACCCCCAACACAAGCAATGATTTTCTTTTGCATGGACAGCTTTATGTTCCTACAGAAAGGGTTTTGTTTATATGGGGGGTTTTGGTGGTTTTGAAAGCAGATTGCTTCCCCCCCCCCTTTTTTTTTGGTCTGGATCGTAAGCACTCACCAAATCCACTTTTCAGGGAAGGAGGGAGCAGGCTCACCCACATGTTGCCTGGCATGTTTTTATCAGTGGCAGGGAGCGGGGCATGGTCCTGTCTCCCCTACGCAGGGCAAAGTAGGACTAGATACTAGTGAGAAGCTATCTTTGGACCTGGAGCTCAGTGCTTAGTACATGGAAAGGCATGACTTCATGGTTCCATGCAACACAGAGGTTTTCTAATCTCAGTCTTTGATCCTAAAACCAGAACTCTCCTTTGGTTCATTAATCGAATTATGAGAATAGATTTGAAGGAACTGAAACACTTGCGTGGCTCTGTTTGGGGTGGGGAAAGTTCAGGAAGCATCCAGCATGCATCTCCATCCCCTTAGAATCAAGCTAGCTCTCCGTCTGGGCAGCAATATTTAAAATAAAATTAAATCTGGGCAGGTATAATTAAAAGCATAGGTTTGGTCAGGCAGCCAAGGGCTGACCTAGACAAGAAAACTTAGCAACACACTTAACTTCTTGACTCTCAGTCTCCTGCTCTATAAACTGATATATTCCTCTAAGGCTCTAGTGCTGACCTAGTTTACAAAATGACCACTGAGGAGAATGCTCTAACCCACCCACCACATACCTGCAGAGGGGTCTTGGAGCCCACCCAGGTAGCATGGAGGTCCTTGAGCGTGGCTGTCTGGCCATGAGCCCACATCTGGCTAACAGTCCAGTCAACAGGAAGTCAAAATGTTTCAGCATCTCTCAGCAACATGTGGCCATGAGCAAGGCCTCCTGTTTTCCTGGGAATAATCTTCAGAATAAAGAAAGCAAAGCAGGAGGAAAGAAAATCCCTTCTCCCCTCCGCTACCAGGAAGGAAAGAATCAAGCTCATTGCTAAACAATTATTTATCCCAACAGCAAACCCTAAGCACCCATTCTGCACCCAGATCTGACTGAGCCAGGCACAAGGGACATAATTGGGTAAAGAGACAGTGAGGGGTTCCTGCCCTCAAGGAGCCCCACATTCCTTTTCTCTGGAGATTCATTTTACTCTAGCATTTACCTGTGTTTAAATATTTCCTGGGAGAAACAGGATTGATGGGAGACACACACATCATTGACCTTGAGCACTCTTCCCCCAGTGGATGGTTTGACTTTGGGGCTCTTTCACCTGGTGCTCACCTTTCTGTGAGCACTAGCACTTCCCATCCTTGAGTTCTTGTAGTAGTGGCCTGTCCCATCAATGGCTTCTACTCAGCTCTCGTCCTCTGGGACCAGCTTGCTTCAGTACCATCAGCAGTGCTGGCTTTTCCAGGGCAGCACTGGGACCTTGGGTACTGTGCCAGGGCCAGCAGGTATTACTGGAGTATTTGAAAGGTGGCTGGAAGGGGAAGCGTCTTCCAAAACTTTGGTTGTGCTGCCTAATGAGGACAGTGAAGCAACTGGGCTCATCCTGCATCTCTGTGAGATCTTGGGTCTGTAAGGAAGCCCCCAAAGTTGACGGGGAAGGCATTTGGATAGAGGGGAAAACCAGAGTTAAACGAATGCATTTGTGGAAGGCTGTGCTTTGTGTGGGGCTCAGAGTGCTCCTGTGCTCTAGCTTCAGTCGTAAAAAGCAAACAAACTGCTCGCAACTTCTGGCAAAAGAGTCACTTTGGATACCTGTTTGGTTGCTTTTTCTTAGGGAAGACGAGGAGAAATTGGACCCCCAGGAGATAAAGGGATTACTGGATGTCCAGGGGAGCAAGGTCAAAAGGTAAGGCTCTGCTGGAAATGTGATTTTGAATTCCCTACAACATGCTGTGTCTCTCTTCCTTCCCTCCCTCCTTTTCTCTCTCCCACCACCCCCCTTTGCCATTCTCCAGTTACATGTCAGTGTCCTCACCTGTGGACTAATTCTGCTTAGAAATCTCAATGAGTTCAGAGCATTCATTCAATCCATCTATCATCCCTTTGTGGTTAGAGAGCCAGAAGCAATTAAAGGAACACACAATCACCTTCTTAAGGGAGGCAACACCTTCTTGCTCCAACAGCCTGTGAATCCACCTGCTGTCTGTCTTTGACATGTCAGTGAGAGAGATTTCATCTTTTACAGGGAGCCAAAGGATTTTCTGGACGTAAGGTACTGTAGTGTCTTCTCAGTCCAATTTGATTTCCCGATGGGATGAGTTTCCCAAAAAGCATGTGGCAGAGCCCTCCTCTGACCTGATTGCGCTCCGTTGTCCCTTAGGGAGAGCAAGGAGAGGATGGGATTGACGGGCTGGATGGGGAAGAGGTAAGCCATCTTTCAGGTTACCATAACATTGTCACGAGGTTGTATTTCTCTTTAAATGGGAATTTTGTTTTCCTTGACTTCTTTTAGGGCTTTCGTGGATTTCCTGGGGAAAAGGGAGAAAAAGGTGATCCAGGATCTCAGGTAACACTTTCAATACATCAAAGAAGGAGAATTTGGTAAGAGAGACAGTCTTAACTGCTGTGTAGCAGTGCTTAGTGGGGAAACACTGACAGCCGACTTGACCACAAAATGAAGTTCTGTTACTACTGAGTAGATGCTACAGTCCCGTTTGGGAATTTTCAAGAATTCCAGTGAGAAGGAATCGAGGCATGCAAGGTTCTTCTATGGGCATATTCCTCAGAAGTCTGAAAATGAATGTTTTTGCCTGTCAGTGGCTTCCATGTTCTCTTTATTGCATCAGAAAAAAAAAAAAAAAACCCAACATAAAAAGCAAGGGAAAAATACAGAATTATTTTGGAGACCTTGCTATAGCAAATCACAGTGAAACATTTTTTACCTTAAATTTGTTTCAATACTTATTAATATGTCCCTACTTAGTACCAAGCAGCTCAGTTTTTATGTTCTGATCCATTTATTTATCCAATATTTTGAATACCTGGCATGTGCCAAGCACTGAGTTAAGTGCTAAAGATTCAGAGATGAACGACACTGTCCTTGTCCTCAAGGATCCCTGGCCGTAGAAAGACAGATATATTAATAGCTAATGACAGTGCAGAATGCGATTGAGGCCATGTTGTAGGCAGCTACATGAGAGTCCAGAGAAGGGCACCTAACTCACCAGGGCAGGGAGCAAGTCCAGGAAGTCTTCCTAGAAGAAATGGTCCCTGAGCTGAAGATGATAGGCATTAGCAAGACATGGAGGAAGGGATTCCAGACAGAGGGAACAGCACAAGCAAAGACATGCAGGCTTGGGGGCACTGCAAGTTGAGCATTAGAGCTCAGGTAGAGGGAGGTGAGGCTCTAGAGGTGGTGGGAAGAGGTTGGGAAGGCACTGGTGGGCCATGTGGAGGAGTTAGGCTCTTAACCATTAAGCAATCGTGAGTCTTTGAATGATTTTAAGTACGGGGACCACAATTGAATTTGAATGTCAGAAATATTACTTGGCAGTAGTATGGAGGATGTGTCATATGATACATAGATACAAGGCAAAGATGAGAGGATCTAGAATAATTGAGGTGAGAAGTGATGAAGGCTTCAAGTAAAGCAACGTCGGTGAGAACAGACACAAGACTTACGAAGAACCTAGCAGGGCCCGGGCTGGAATGAGCAGCTAGAGCGCAGGATTTAAGAAAGTGCTCATTCTCAGAATTATGCAAAGTGTGTCTCCCTAAATTTTGCACCCTGAGGTAACTTGCTTCTCTTACTCTAGTTCTGGCTCTGGGACATAAGGTCTCTAGATGTAGGTGATCAGAGAAGCAGGAAATGAGTAGTCAGTCAAAATGCCTTCAAGGACCCTGGTTTGGACAAGCTGAATTGGGAACACTTGAGTTTGAGGTGACAAGTGGAACATTCCTGTGAAGGTTTCCAGTGGGCAATTTAATTATAACTGTCAGAAGTTCCTAGACCGGCTGCGATGTCCAATACACTACTACTAATATATGACAATTTAAATTCAAATTAGTGAACATGAAAAATTCTGCTCTTCAGTTGTCCTAACCACATTTCATGTGCTCAGTAGCTACCTATGGCTAATGGCTACCATGTTGGACAATGCAAATATAGAGCATTTCTATTACTGCAGAAAGTTCTGTCAGATGGGCTATGCTAAATCATGAGAGTTTTCCCATTGCTCAGCCTCACCATAGGTAATCCTGACTATAGGCTTAAAACTGCACTGAGTACTGCTTGAGAAGTCTGAGGAAACTGGCTGGGAGAGAGGAACATGGATCATTTCATCTGATTGGTTTTCTTGCCCCCAAAACACACACTTGACATTTTAACACCATTATAAAACCCTCATACAAGCTAACTCAGAAATTTATTTTCTTTTTTTCCAGGGCAGCCCAGGTTCCAGAGGCCCCCCTGGGGGATATGGGGAGAAGGGCTTTCCAGGAGATCCTGTAAGTTACTTGGGTCTAGTTGACTCTGAATTGTGTAGTTGCTCCAAGTTCCTCTCTCCTTTCCCATGTGTCTCCCATTAACCTATAGGCAAAGGCTTGTCTTGGGAGTCGGCGTAGTAGGTGTTGACTGAGACTTAACTGCTTGGGAAAAAAATCTGTGTGCATCTGATCTTCGCTGATTATATTGGAAATTTGGAGCTGGGAAATGTTCCATCCTAATCACCCTTAGTGTTATGTTGAGACTTTCAAGTTCCTTTTGGGGAGAAATTTCCATAATTTTGCTTATTGGGCTTCTAATCTTACAGATTCCATATTTGCAAACTTGATTAAAAAGGAATCTTATTGCATCTCTAAGCATGTTTGGACTAGTGCATCACTGAAGCTGCCAATACAGAGAAGAGAAAATCATCATGGTGTCTGCAGGTGGTCTTTAGCAAACACTCTTATCGCTTCATTTGTCACCAAACCCTCTTCAAACTTGGGGATATATTATTGTCATTTTTTCAAAAATCTATCAGTTGCAAATATGGTGAATTTTCTCTTACCCTTCCTTACTTAACCCAAATTAGCTTACTACTTGAATATTGTACCATGGTATTTGGGAAAAAAAAAAAAGCTGATATTTCTTTGTTCTAAAATACTTTTTAAATCTTCCTCTAGGGTTATCCAGGACAAAACAGTAACATCAAAGGACAAAAGGGCTCCAAAGGAGAACAAGGAAGACAAGTAATTGGATCTATTTTACAGACATAGAATCTATAGACCTATTTTACATATGTATGAATGACTAATTCTGTTACTGAGCTGAGACTTTCATCAAGTCTAAATTAATTACTTAGTAAAATATGTAACCCTTCTATAATTGAATAACACCCCTAAGTTCATATGTAGAAGAGCCTTATTTCCTGAAAACAAGACACATCTGTAGTAGGTTACACTTCCATGGGTAAAATTATTAAGTTTCTGGCAGGTGATATTATATGGGGAAACTGCTAGTTAGCAGTGCATGTTGCTATACCATTTTCCTCTTTAATAGATACAGACCCAATAGTGTTAATATGCAGAAAGATTCTAGCATGATACATTTGTTCTGCTGTTTTAATAGTGCATGAGGTTTTTATGCTGATGTAGTTATTCAGAATCTTGTGCCTTACAATCTTAGGGAAACAATTGTATTTCTAGGGTAGAACTGGACAGAAAGGGACACCAGGCAATCCCAATTCCAGAGGAAGTAGGGTAAGTATTTCCGTGAACGTTTATTTTCTGTCCTTATCACCTGAAGGTGCCACAGAAGCATTCACAATATTTGCCACTGCAGAGTTGGCTGGTCCAGGGCTGATACATTGGTACTATTGTCATTTGGGGCCAGATGATGTGAGGGGCTATCATGTGCTTTTATAGGATGTTTCAGAGCATCCCTGTTCTCTACCCACTAGATGTCAGTAGCTCACTCCCCCCAAGTTGTGATAGACAAAAATGTCTGCAGATTTTGCCAAATGTCTGGGATGAGGGTAGTGGGGAATGGGGGGGGGGGCGGGCAAAATCACTCCTTCTTGAGAACCTCTGTGACAGTCTGCCTTCCTCTTTCCACCTTCCAGAAGCTTTTGAATGTCTTTGGAGAGTCAGTGCCTTTAACATGAAAGCCCTCCTCCAGCAGCTTAGCATCTTTGAGCTTCTATAAGAAAAGTGGGTAAACATACTCTCTTTCTCTTCAAGTGTTGCCAATGGGAAAGAAGAGTTACAGATAAGTTTCTCCTGAATGAACCAAACCACTGGTGACTAGGGCCAAGCCTGTGGCAACCTTGAGACCCTAGGACAACTTTATAGCATCTCATGTGATATGAAGCCTAAAACAGGGATATTAGATTTTCCCTTCTTTTTAAGGAACAACCAAGAAAATCACTTTTCTTTTTGTGGACTACTGAAGTGAGAGGTGACATTTCCAATGTGTTAGAAACCCTTTTATTGGGTGCCTGGGTGGCTCAGTTGGTTAAGCGTCTGCCTTTGGCTCAGGTGGTGATCCTGGGGTTCTGGGATCGGGCTCCCTGCTCAGAGGGGAGCCTGCTTCTCCCTCTGCCTCTGCCTCCCCTCCTCCGTCTCCCATGAATAAATAAATAAAATCTTAAAAAAAAAAACCCTTTATCATGCACTCAGAATGGAGATTATAAAAAGACAATAATGCACAGCGCCCTAGATTTATTTGGCCCCGAGCTTTATTCAAGAGGGAACTGAAAATACTTGGCTTGCTTTTCTATTACAGATTTGGAGTCTTCTCATCACTTTGAAGGCTGTGGCTGATTGCCTTTCTCTCTGGAATAGATAGTAGAGAAATGTGTTTTAATTCCTCTTGCCTTTGTTTATCTTAAATCATAGTTCTTAAGGGATAAGATCTATGGTCAGATGGCTTAGGTGTCCCGGTGCTTCTGGTAAAAATTCTTTGGGACTTTGCCCTCTCTCCACACAAGAGAATTAAAATTAACTGGAGGAAGCAGCAGAGCAGCAAGATGCCCCAAATGCAATGAATTTTAAAGATAAATAGGTATTTTTGTTGGTTTAAGAGAAAATACTCTTAGTTTGAGAGAGCTTTGTAACTGCCACCATCAATCAAGCACTTTTTGAAAAGAGCTGCTAGGGGTGGGGTTGGGGATTACTACTTGGACAAACCAGCCAATGACTTTAAGTCAGTTCAGAGACAGGAGGCTCTCAGCCTCCCTCTCCCATCTTCATCCACATCCCTGCCCAGCTCCTACCTTGGTAACCAGTTTTCTCCTGAATTGAACAAGGCATTGTGAATATAAAATAGCATCAAGCTTTTCTACCTCTTCCCCCACCTTTCCAGTGAAGGCCAGAATTCTCTCTGAGGGTCAGAGGATCTTAAGTAGGTGACAGGTTCTAAGAACACAAGCAAACGTGTAAGACACTGCCTCCTCTGTGGACAGAATTCCAACTTAGGCAAGTTAATTGTACCAGCTGTTGCCAAAACAGTGGAGTGATGTACTGAGAACCAGAGGACCTGAAATGACATTCCAGGCCCCTTGGTTTTAGCCTACCACACACAAATGCTTATAAATAATAGCACTTATACTTCTGTAGCATTTATTTTGTGCCAGGTCCTGATCAGATCACTTTCAAATATTAAATCCTCATAACAAACCTAATAGGTAGATACTGTTATTATATCCATTTTACAGATGAGAATACTCAAGGACCCTTGGGCAACTTGCCCAGGATCAGGATAGGTAGCAAGTGGCAGAACTGGGGTTTGGACCCAGACCATCTCACTCCAGAGTCTGGGGTCCTAACCTCCCGGCTAAGACTTATTGCACAATTGCTCTGTGCCACACAGGCTTTAAGGGGCAGTGTCGAGCTCAAGAGTGCCTGACTTCTAAAGACACATCCCTAAACATTGTGCAGTATTGTCTGATGTGGAATAAATGTTCTTTTACCCTTTTTAATGGAATTATGACATCGCAGGATAACAGTGGCCTCAACTTCTGTTTGCCATTTCTTCTCTACTTTCATATGTCAAGAGCTCTATAGTCACATCAAGGTACAAAGAGCTGACAAGGTACAATGGATAACTTCTCCCAAAGGGCATTTGCATTTTGAAAGGAGAGTCCCTGAGTGGGGGGCAGAACCCCAGTGGAGGAATTCCTGTCATCAGCCAACCTGGTGGAGATGATACTTGGTCAGGTAGTTCACTCGAAGGAACTCTAGAAGGTAGGCAGTTGAGAGAAAACCGATTCTCAAATAATTTCCATGGCTACCTTTCTGAATGCATGAATAGAATTATTTTATTTTATTTTATTGTTATTTTTCGATGTTTTATTTTTTAATTTAAATTCAATTAGCCAACATTTAGTACATCCTTAATGTCAGATGTAGTGTTCAATAATTCATAGAATTTTTTTTTAAAGTCCTTAGGAGGGCATGTGACGTAATGAGCACTCGGTATTATATCAGACTGATGAAGCACTGACCTCTACCTCTGAAACTAATAATACATTATATGTTAGTTAATTGAATTTAAATAAAACTTTTTAAAAATAAAGTCTTTGTCTTGTACCTAAAGTAATCATAGTTGTTTATCACAATACAAAGTAAATTGATGGTTGAGATATTCCACAGCTCGCTCAAAGGGGCAGGGGCGAGGGGGGCTTGAGGGTACAGATTTTATTGTTGCTGTTTAGACGGAAAGAAGTTAGGATCTGAGATCTGAATCATCTGCCTTGATCACAGTCTGGAAAGGACGGGGTGTGGCAAAACAGCCACTAGGGGGAGAGCCTGAGCTGGCAACATGGAAATCACCTCTGGTTAAGTGCAGGCAGATTTCTGGCTTCAGAGATCAGCCCCTTTCTCAGATGAGTGTGGCAGTGCCATTGGACCACCACATAGTTGAGCAGACCCCATCAGCCATTTCCTTCTTGTAGAATTCCATGGAAACAAACCTCAGTGGGCCCATGTGAAGCACTGAATCTCACAATTTTTACTCTCCCTAAGATACTTTCAGGGCCTCGGACAGAGAGATGGAGAGGACACAGCTTGTTCTCACATAGGAAGCCTCTGATTAGCAGAAAGTACTTTGTGGACTTGCTGAAGAGGGAAAGATAGAAGACAGGTTCTTCAGAATGATTTGGTTCTCCAAACAGCCTCCCGAATAGTTGTCAGAGGCTGTTAGACTGGAGCTGGATCTGTAACGACTTTCAGATTGGCTTTCAATCAATCCCCCAAATGTTAGTCTATAATGAAGTGCCCAGTGTGAAAACTTGTCTTTGGAAAGTGCCTTGGGGAAGCCATTTCTGTGAACTACTCATTACTTATGTCTGTCAGGGAATGAAACAGGCTGGTTTGCCTCTAAAGAATCCTCCATCTGGATACATACACAACACTAACACTTTGCCTTTTCTGTTCCAGGGAAGGGAAGGCCGAAGGGGGCCCCCAGGTGTCTCGGTAAGTACCCTTTACTTCCTGCCTTCCATGGTAGACGGTTCCAAGGAGATTTCTTATATGCGGATGGCCCTGGGAATGAATGAGCATTTGACAAGGACGTTGTAGGAAGTGCAGAGCACTAGACATGGCCCCACTGATGCGGGGAAACACAAGGGTCCATCAGTTCAGCTGCCAGGAACTGGACAGGCCTGACCTAAGGCAGAACCCCCTTCACAGACATGTCCTAGACAAGAGGACTTGCTGTCCATTTGACTGCTTTTCACCCACACCGGGAGTCGACTGCACGAGAGTGAAATTCTTTACTAGAGTCAGAAATGATCTTGTGTTCATTTTTTAGTATGGAAATGAATAAAATCCTAGACCAAGTAAGGGGTGAGCCAAGATTCAGTCAAAATAGTACCAATGTACTATATATTATAGTACTAGATAGTATAAAGAGATAATCTATATGGAAACTGGAGAAAGTGTTAACACTGAAAACTCGTTTATCAGGGGGAGCCGGGAAATCCTGGACCTCAAGGTACCCAGGGAGCTGACGGATTACAAGGCCCACAGGTGTGTTGAAGAATTTTGTAAATATTGATATATAATGCTGAGTTATCCTGATGGGAAGTCGGTGGGTAGTTCTGTATAAACATAAATAACTGAGAAATGTTTAATCTGCTCTCGCCTTTCTCCTTGGACCATGTTTCTGGAATTCTACATGGAAGAGTGATTTTTCTCCATCAAACCTTCTCCTATTTTGAATAGAGGAAATGGATGCTCTTGTGCTCACCACTATTGTATCAGCTCGTTAGTAATAATGAGTTATTAAAACCTTAATATTATTAGTAATGAATATAAGGATCAACAAATTGGTTTTCCTTATTAACTGAAGCCCTGCACACAGATCCCATGAAGGAAAGTTAGGAATTGGAAACTATTACTCAACTCATCTAAAACTGATTCACAGGGGGTGAGTGTGCTTTTAGAATATTATTGATGGGGCTTTACATGAGCCATTTTTTTCTTGGTCATATCATTACTGATATGAGCGTCGGAGTCAGGACATCTCTGTCTCTCATGTTGGAAAGATGCTGGGGTCATCCCTAGGTAATGGTTTTGTAATACACAAGTATTTAGTTACCTTATGAAGCCCCCTATAAGCCAGAACTTGTCTGGAAGGTGTGCATAGACCTAAGACCTTCTCAAGAGTTCATTTTTCTTCTAGGAAGTTTCAGATGATTCACACTAAGGTAGAATTTGGTATTCTCTTGAGGATTCCGGGGTCCCTGAACCAAGCCACCAGCTAGCAAATCCTTTAGACTGAGTAACCATGGGATCAGTCTAGATCTATCCCCAGGCTTTGTAGGGAAGGGGTGATGTTCCTCAGCTACTCTAGGGTTCCTTTGATACTTAGAGAGTGAACCAAGGCTAGTCCAGTGGGTGCAACCACCATTTGCACTGGGCAGCTGAGGCCATTTTATAGCTGGTGCTTTGGTAGTGGGAAAATTTATCAGCACCTCTAGTTTTTTCTTCTATGTAAAAGATCTGTATGTGTATTGTATGGTAAATATAGTATATATACATGTATTTGTTGGTAAGTATAGTAGAAAATATGCTTAAATTCCTCTGCTAAAATGTCCTTTTGTGTGAACTTGAAACGACTTTGCTCTCTATTTTACACATTGATGATGAGGACTCTGGCCCAGGTAACCTGCCCCAACAAAGGAATCCATCTGACTGCTATTTAAGTCTTCCTTCCTTCTTCTAAGGGTTTTATTTTTCCCTTTGGTCTCCTTTTCATTTCTCCCTGTCAGAGTGGGATGGTCTTAGACCCAGGCAAGAATTCCTTGATAAAATCTGTACCACTGAGTCTGGGCCTCCTCTCCATTCTTATTGTAAGATATGCTTAACCTCAGAGTTAAAAGGCTACTTGAAGGGTTGGACCAGTGCTTTTCTGTGGACGTGTTTCATAAGTACGTTTTCATTGCTTCATCGCACTGTATTTCTTTTGTTACCACAAAAGGGGTTAAATGGAATTCCTGGCAGGAAAGGAGAGAAGGGAAACGAGGGGCATAAAGGACCTCAGGTGAGTAACCCAGGAATGGTCTCCAGCAACACCATTTCCTCTTACTTCAAACACATCTTTCTATATAGTTTATTTTATATTATCTACATATAGGGTATTTTATTTTTCAATCAACTTGGGACAGACTTGGGGGGAAAAACCGGGGACAAGTTTTTAGCATAGCTCTGATTCCTTGCATGTCTCTTAAGCCCTCTCTCTCTCCTTCACTGGGTTTTGCTGGGATGGTACAAACCCATTGCCTCAGCCTGAAGAAAGCATTTGGAAGAATACAAATCCTGCTGACTTCTGGACATTTCAAATCCTAACACACTATTCTGGTTTTTCTGACTTTTAAAAATCTATCTGTGCCATGCGTCTCTCCATTGACTGTAGATATTTGAAATTGACTCTACAAAGATCCCTTGTTACCCAAATTGATTTGAATCCTCAGCTCAGCTTTGAATTCACCCTCTGAATCTATTTGGTCCCTGAGTTTCTGACAGTGGGTAATACGAGTTCGGATGGTGAGGGATTCCTATGAAAAATGTTCTGAATCTGTTCAGTTCTTCAGCTCTGATAGCAGGAGCTCAGAAGAGAAGGAATACCTGTGTTTGCCCAGTTATGGTCCCAGCATGTTCGTGGAAGATACTTTTGCCCATTTGCAGATTGGGACTGAAACACATTCTGCTTTGGACGTGCACATGGTGTAGTGCACACAAGTGGCAATGTCTCGTTCTCATAAAATCAGTACATTATAACAAATCTGTGGCATTTAGAACTAACATTTGTCATGTCAAGGGCACCTTTTCTATTTCTCAAGGCCCCACATGGACCAGTAGTATCCTTGCAGAGGAAGACTTGTGGTCCTCTAACCAGGACTATACCCTGAGTCACCTGTTTTGCGTGCAGATGTCTCTCTCCCCTGGGTGGCTGGGTCTCTTGTTAAGGAGGCATCAAGGAGCTGTTGGAAATGACATGAAGAAAAGCAAAACTAATCTAATGGGTTGTCTAAGAATTGCTACAGGGCCAACATATGTGTCTCGCAATTTCATTCAGGGCTCTTCTGGGCCAGTGGGAGCTAAAGGAAACGTTGGAAGTCCTGGGCCTTCAGGGAAAAAAGTAAGTGTTACCTCTTTAAGATGTCAAGTACTGAGAAAAAAGTACCTCCCTTCTTTTCTTGATTTCCATGTTAATTCCTCACATGATCCAGGAACCATCAACCACCCACCGGCTTTCTGCTGATACGTTCTTTTCCTCCCATTGAGCAAAGAATTTCTAACTGCTTATCTCTTTCCTGAAATGGCCCCATTTCACTAAGAGAGACGCAGTGATCTCAGACATGAAACAACTCTGAAAAATCTCTTCACCTCCCCAGTGTCCTGAATGCAGAGTCCAGGAGGGAGGTAAGGGGTGTCCAGACTCAAATCTGTTTGTGCATACAGTTCTCTAATTCACCCTACTGTCTCTGAAGCGGCTCTGTTGGAGTCTGTCAGATCGCAGACTATTGGCCCATTCAAAATCCCACTCCCCTGGTTCAAATCTTCCGGGGGCTCCCTGCTCCGGGGCCAGGTTTGTGGGCCAGGCAGCTGTGCGGTCACACTGGGGGCAGAGCTCAGAAGGGCCCCATGCTTGGTTTAATGTCCTGCTGTCACCATCTTGAAAGTCTTCGTATTTGAGGATGGGGCCTATGCTTTCATTGTACGCTGAGCCCCACAAATTATGCAGCCAGTCTTAACTTCCCTATGGCTCTTAGGAAAATTTCCAAACTTTAAAGCAGCTTAGAAGGCCCTCTGACCCTGTTTAGTTCTGAGGCTTCAGAGCACTTCTCCCTCCTGCACGCCTGCCCCAGGCTTCTCACCAATGCCTTCCCTCTACCCAGACCATCCTCACTCCTCCCACGATCCTTTTTCTGTCTCACATAACTTAGCCGTCAAGCCTCAGCGCCCCTGCTCCTTTCCTTCAGGCAGCTTGCCTCCCTAGCCCCACCAAATCCAATTTAGATTCCCCTCTCCTTCACTGCTGTAGCCCCCTGAGTTTATAATTGCCTGTCTAATCGTCTCTCTTTCCAACCACATTTTTTTTTTTTTTTTTTTTTTGGTGAGTCAGGACCACATCTATCTTGTTCAACATTTTATTTTCCGGGAGAGTAAATCCTTGGATGGGCAAACACATCAGCCAATGAATCAACTTTCCCTGGAGATTTTCTACTCTTCGCCTTCTCCTTCAGTCATTCCCATCCCCCAGGGAAAGCAGTGCTTGTGCCCGGGCTTGGGCTGTGCTGCAGTTTTCTGCTTACCTTTGGGGAGATCGTTACTCGTTTCCTACACCCCATCTCCTTGCTGAGCACTGAAACCTCACTGAGAGGCTCGAGTCTCCCCATCTCAACTCCTATGGTGGGAGCCACGTTTTATTTTACTGATCTGAAGCTCTTTTTGTCTGACTTACTAGGGAGAACCTGGAATTCTTGGAGATCCAGGGCCAATGGGGCAAGCCGGACAGAGAGGAAGACAGGTATGACATTTTAGGACCCTTAACTTTTCACTGCTCCAAGTGCTCAGTTCTGTGGTAAAGAGAAGGGGACTGATGCCACCAGCCTAAGCGCCTGGGGTATTGAAAGGTATTTTAGGACCTCCTAGGAAGATGCAGGGACATACTCGCACCCCCTGCAGCTCTCCCTCTATAGCTAATCTGTCTGTTAAAGCACGGGAAAACAGCCCGAGGGAAAGGGGGCCTTGCAGAAAGGATAATGGATAAATTACAGCAGGACATTTCAATATTTTCACAACCAGTATGGCCATATAGATGCATGGCAGTTGAAAAACAGAATTACCCATCTCTCTCCCTGTCTTGCAAAACTCTACGGCAACAGCAAGAAGAGGGGAGTAGAGCCAAAAAATGAGCCATCTGTTCTAGTGGCTCTCCATACCAGCATCTCTGTCCATGGAACAGCCAATATAGGAAAGATTTTTTTCATTTCTTTTCAAAAATAATGTTTATTATAAGCGTTATATATCGATATTGTAGAAAATTTGCCAAGCATAAAATATGGGAAATGGGGAAGAAAAATTCCCCATAATCTCACTATTTTGAAATATATATTATTAACATCCTGGAGATACCAAAAAAATTATCAGTTTTTCCCTTTTACCAGTGTATCATGAGCATATTTCCATGTCATTACATTTTCCCCTAAACATCCCTTTTAATAGCTTCAAAATATTCTACTGAATGTGTATACCTTAGTTCATTTGACCAATCTCTTGCTATTGAATACCTGATTGTTTTCAATTTTCTATTGTCATAAACAGCACAGCAATGAACATTATTGTATCTAACTAAATTTTTAGACAAAATCATAATTTCTATGTAGAAATTTCCAGAAGTAGCGTGACCAGTTCAAAGAACATGTGCCTATTTAAGTTAAGCTTTGAACTCTTTTGCAAAGTGGCCTCAGGAATATTCAAATGATACAATGCACCCATGTGTTATGTAGGAGAATGTGCGCTTCAGGGCATCCACACCCACAGTGGGCTTTGTCACTTTCTTTTTTTGATCTTTACCAATTAACAAAAAATAGCATCTCATTACTGTTTCAGATTGCATTTCTTTGGTTACTAGTGAGGAGGACATTTTCCCGTATGGCTATCAGCCGTTAGCAATTCTTCTTTGGGGAAATTCCTCAGCATGTCCTTTGAATCAGCTTCAGTATTCCAGGCAAGTAACTGCCACTGAGTCCCTTGGTCCTGAGCATCCCTCTGCCCTCGGCAGTATTTCCAGGGTGGAGCTGGCCAAAGTACCAGGGCATATAGCAGGAAATGAGGAAAACCCAGCAATGTGCATGTCCCCAGAGCTCAAGGTCACTGATAAGGCCCCCTCCACTGGAAGTCCCCAGTGCTTCTCTCCTGCTACCAGTATAGATTGCAATTAAATTTCACTTTTGAGAAATTAAAATGAACTGGTATGTTCACAGGGAGATTATGGCATCCCAGGCTATGGTCATATGGGACGAAAAGGAATCAAGGTAAATATGGAAAGCAATTATTTCTTTAATTGATGAAATCAACCTAAATAATATAAGAAGAAACGATCATACTGCAGAAGTGGTCTGTTGATTTATTTATGTTCTTTGCTGCAAATTGTAGGGCCCAAGAGGTTTCCCTGGAGATATGGGGCAAAAGGTACTGTGCACATGACCTTGTTTTGAAATTACCATGACCTTAACTTTCTACTTGAGAATTAAGGTTAAAGAAAAAAAGCAAAAAAGCAGAGCAATTGTTTTGCCAGGGCTTCCCGAGTAAAGGACCATACTTAACTACTCTGGACCTTTAAATTGGAAAAGACTGTGCTGTCCTTCGTTGCCTGATGTGCCCGGTCTTGAAACTCCTACCTCTAGACATCCTCTCAAGTCTAGTTCTTCTGTGCTCTTGCTTTCTCTGCCTCGGTTATCTCATTCCAAACTCTTGGCTTCCGCTATTGCTCTTTGTTCTTTATCATTGTGGCCTTCACTTCCCCTTGCCTGGAAGGTGGCAACATTCTTCTCATGGTCTCCATTTCCACCTTCTCCCTGCTTCAGTTAGTCCCAAACACCGCTGTCACTTGGCGTCTTCGGCAGAATGACCTACTCGTGTTCCTCTCCTGAGCAAACCGTTTCCAGAATCCCTCCTAGCCTTCCAGATTGAAATCCCCCTCTGTGCTCTACCACTAGACATACCTTCCTTTTCAGTCCGAGCAGCCCCTGTTCTTGTACACTGGAATTCTGGGATAAGATTTCCTTTTTCTTTTCTTTTTTTTAAGTGTCCTGTCCAGAAGAGTATCTTCCAATAGTTGGTGCTCAAATTAAAATACAAAATATGGATTACAAAAAATTGAATGTCTAAGCAAATCAAATCAACTACAGGAAAACAGCCAATTTTTGAATCCTCTTAAAAGTGCTTTCAATGGATGAATTACCAGAAGAGATTCTTTTCTTAGCTAGAGAAGGGTACAAGAGGGAACTATATAACTAACTACTAGGACAACAGTCCTCATTGCAGAAGACCAGTTTTCTAATTTACTGATAAAGGGAGAAAATTAGCCTATTTCAGTTTAGGGATAAATGTGAAATTAGTTTGTTGATAAATAGGTACTAAAATTCATTTCCCACCAAGGTCAGAGCAAATTTTTTTTTTTTACCTTCAGCTTTTTCAGAAATGACTCATGAATTTAGGAAGTAATTATTTAGTATTTTCTGTAGTTAATACTCCATATGTTTTCCCTGATCATCAAGCATTTTTTCTTTAGATATTTTTAGTAACTGATTGGGCAGCCATTTCCTTGATATTCATGCATAAATATTTGTATTCTTAGAAAATTAAAAATAGTTTGGGGAATATTTAGGTGTATCAATAACTTAGTTCCAAGCAACAGGAGAAGGTGACATTTAATGTTTAATATATAGTATAGTTATAAGATCAATTAGGTTTTAGATTAGAGAGAATTATTTTTATTCTTTCATAGCAAATATTTTAATATATTGATTTCTTATATCTGAATCTTTAGGGTGCTGTTGGTGATCCTGGAATTCCTGGGGGTCCTGGACCCAAAGGATTTAGGGGATTAACAGTAAGTGGCCTATAATTCCAGAAATAATAAATGTTTCTTTAGAAGACTGTGGCTTTTATGTTGTAATAATAAATGTGGTTTATTGCTCTAACCCAAGGGCATCTGAAATGCCACTTCCTGGCTTTGTGACCTTCACCACAGAATTTCAGGGTCTCTCTTTCTATAACATGAGACTTGAACTTGACACCAAAGATCACTTTCAGCTCTAAAATTCTATGGTTTCATGAATCTGAACTATTTTAAAGATTTATAGATTGATAACTGGCTATTCCAAGAAATGTCAGTGCCTTCCAGTGTTTTCTAAGCCACATATTAAAGCCCAGAATATTAACCCGGAGTGGAAATGCAGCTGACATCTTCCCGCTGTGTTCTTGAGAGTTTTCTGACAGTTCCATTACCCATACCCAAGGTCATCTAGGGCATTCATTTTAAGGAAGGCTGTTGAGACCTTCTAATTAGCCAAGTGTAAAGTAAAATGTTATAGTTTTTTAAAAAACAAAATGCTGAGACAAGCATCTTTTCATTTGGAAGTGTGAACGTAACATCAGTGGTCATTATCAGCATGAAAGAGATATTTTCCATCTGGCTGGATATATGTCATTAACATCTGTATCTATCACCTTGAAGTATGGGAATGACACAGCCCACCCATGTCCTCTTATGTATGTGGAGAATTATTTTTTGTATTTGATCCTTTGCAGATGGGAGGTTTTTAATTAGGTCTCTGTGTGCCCTAGTATATTTGCTTTTTTTTTTTTTTTTTTTTTTTTTTAGCACCAATCCTAGTTTATGACTAATTTAGATTCAAATGTACGGCCAGTGCCAGAGCAAAGTATGTCACTAAATGGAGGGTCTAAAAGGGAAATGGAGGTTTTCCAGTGGTTAAGAATGGCTATTTATATTACAAGTAAGGAATTTACTTGAGTTGAATTAATAGTTGCTTTCTTTAAAAACTTTGTTTTTAAGGGGCACTTGGGTGGCTCAGTTGGTTAAATATCTGACTGCTGATTTCAGCTCAGGTCATGATCTCAGGGTCGTGGGTTCAAGCCCCCACATCAGGCTTGTGCTCAGCCTGGAATCTGCTTGATATTCTCTCTCTTCCTCGCCCTCTGCCCCTCCCCCCACTGGTACACTCTCTAAATAAATAAATAAAATCTTAAAAAAATTTTTTTCAATTATAAAGCCTCATTAAAACTGAGGTCATTTCCATGGATAGACAGTGTGGAAACTAAAACATGTTTTTATCTGCAGCTCACCATAGGCCTGAAAGGTGAAGAGGGACCTCCAGGACCCCCAGGCCCTCCTGGACGGACAGTAAGTACACCATTAGAAATAAGTAGCCTATACTAGTCTCTAGGTTGTTCCCCAAAAGGGGTACAGATTTTAAAGTCAGAGCACTGGGTTCAAGTCCAAATTCTGCTTCTTGCTGGCTGTGTGCCCTTTGGCTGGTCACCTGTTCTCTCGGTTTACTTCTAAAATGGGGACAACATATTCTGTCCTACCTCCTCAAAAGGTAGCAGTGAGGACCGGATTCTCAAATGTGAGCACTCTTTGTGAATGATAAAGTTTAGTGCAAATATTAGCTGTAACTGTTATTTATTTATTTTTTTTACTAAAGTTTAAAAATAGGGATGGGAATGTATAAGCATCATAAAGGTGTCCTGGCAAAGTTCCAGCATGCAAGACAAGTTGATGGTTTTCCAAATCACTGCTGTTGCCTTCCCAACTTCAAAATATAGACTCCAGAGAGATTTGGAAATATAACCACAGCTTCACACTCTGCTTCCAAGTGCAAGAGAAATGTCACCTCTGGAAGCAATCCCAGGCAGAGTCAGGCATATCTCCCAGTGATGAAACGCCCCATATCTCTATTTTAGTGCCTCTCCTGTTATCAAAATGATTTAGTTACATGTCTCTCTCCCCTGATGAGCATAGTCAGGTAAGAACTAAAAGTTGCCAGCACCTGGGTTTATGTAGAAGGCGCAGTAAGCGTTGTGTACAGGGTGGAAAAACAGCTTATCTTGTTCTGTGCACTCTTGAGTGTTTTGTGACTACCTGGAGGAGTTCTTTAACCTGGGACCTCATAGAGAAGACAAAAGCATGGATGTTTAATGGATGACAATAGAGTGAGAGTCAACTGGCTGTAAAGGATACTCTAATACATCTTTTTTTTTTCTTTCATGTTAAGGAATTGGTGAATATGTAGTCTCCTGGGTGAGACTCTAGTTTCTGAGTCATACTGATCTGCTCTGGATTTATCTCCTTTCCAGATTCTGGAGTTCTCATGTGGGGTCCCACATCTTCCCAGCCTCTGTGCTTGGCCCTGCTGGTCCACTAGAGCATGGTTTCACTGTCCTGGGGTTGCTGGTCTACCAGAATGTGGCTTTTCTCTTTTGGGCCTCCTGGTCTGCTAGAATCAGATCAGCTTCTTTGTCTTGGGCTCTCAGTCCTCAGCCTCTGCTTAAGAACTTAATTGAAGTTCTTCTTTAACTCGGTCCTTTAGGACAGATGCTCTGGAGCTCTGATCCTCTGTAAGATGTGGACTGCCTACTCTTACTTATTAGCCAGAAACTCTTCCTCTCTCTGTTTAAATGGCTGTGCATTCTTTTCTGTCTTGTGCCATAACTTACAAAAGGAAGGTTGAGACTCTGCATTTCTTAGTGAGATATGTAATTTCCTGATTCTGGTCAGGAAGAACCAGTGCTCCCAGTGGGTAGAATTACAGATGCCACAACATTTCTGGATAACACCAGCAGCGCACAATGGGCCGCCTGAGGATTCAGTAGACGTTTAACTGTTAATTGGATGGATGGATGGATGGATGGATAGATGGATGGACAGATGACCCAGTTGTCATTTAGGACAGGGGTTCTTACACTGACATCCCTGGTTGAGCTTCTGAGGCCAGTGAAATTGTATGAGTGTGAGCCTGTAATAGAATTTTCTGGAGCCAGCCTACTAGCATTCACCAGTTGCCAAAAGAGACCTATGTGCATTGAACATGTTAAGAACTGCTGCCACGGAGAAGCCTGATCCTGATAGGGGAAAAGAGAAAAAAGTTCAAGCTTGAAAAAAAGCATTTTTTTTTTTTTAGGAAGCTTCCTTGATTCATTTCAGCCAATTATGCGTACTCCTTTGTTTATAACCTCTCAGCATTTATGAGCTTACTCTTTTGTGTAATGCTCTTCTTTTGTATAATGCCCATCTTGCTACGTAATTATCTCCAGTTCTTTCACATATGTAGAGGTGTATGCTACCACCTGCATTTTAAAGTCCTTGATTTGTCATACATCTGTACCTCTGAATTCTTAATAAATTCCTTTCCTTGTGGCATGCTTTGGGAAGCCTGCTGTTTACATTTCAACTTTTCTCATGAGAAGTGCCTTTTAAGTATTATATCCTTAGTACAAACATCTTTAAGAAATACTTTTGTTTCTTCTCACCTAGAAAAGTAATTCAGTTCACTCTGGGCAGACATTAGCTTAACTGATCTAACACTGAAACAAAGAAGTTTACACCATTGATTTAAGTGGGGAAATAGCATCATAATCTCCTAGTTCAGGAATACTTTAACCACTCTCTGCCAGCTGTGCTTTTAAGAATGAGGTTTTTTTTTTTTTTTTCCTTTACTCTTGTTTTGTCACTAAAGACTCCAGTTCACATCCCAATAACTTGCTCTGGTTTTGTTTTCCTAGGGCATGAAAGGCATGGAGGGGAAGCCTGTATATTCCGTATGTATCTCCTTATTCACAAATGAAAACCTAACCAGTCCACTGGCAAATAAATATGGCCCCTCAGAGGTCATTGTGCTCATGTTTCTGTTCTCTTTCTCTTTTTTTATTTGCAGCAATGTGATCTGATCCAGTTCATGCGAGACCATAGTCGTGAGTATCTGTGTGTCAGGGGACGGGGGGGGTTGGTGGATTGGTGAGGGCACTGAGGATGAGTGTGGTGTGGGTATGCAGAATCAGTAAGCTGAATCCACTGGTGGCGTGTGTCCTCTGCAACAGGTTTGTCCTGAGTACTTGCTGTAGGAACAGCTCACATCAAAGGTGGGAGGGAAAGTGGTATAAGTAAGAGACTCAAGAAGTGTGATTCATATAGGAGAGAAAATGTGCTTATGGGAAACAATTGGAATCCAACTCAAAAGGTGTGTGAATTCGCTCACACGATTTGGTACAAAGGTCTGCAAGGGCCTGGTGTTAAAGGGATGAGCATGGAGATTTGGGTTTAGTCAGTTAGTTACTTAGTAAATGAAGTCTCCTTGGACAGGGGTACTTGAATTCAGTTATGGGGAAGTGATGAGGGAGTGGCAAAAGAATAGTTTCAGCAGAGGAATAAAGCAGAAGTCAACAAATAGACAGATTGTCTTTGGTTAGGAAGAAAGGGAAGTGAGGTAGAAGAAGCCCGGTGATCTATTTTCTGAAAATTTATCCCAAGGAAATAAAGCAAAAGAAAGAAAAATTATATGCAAATATGCTTGTTGAAATATTATTCATTAGAGCAAAATGAATATACCTTTAGACTATTTGCATTTAGAGAATAATTAGGTTATAGCGCATCATTTTCTGATCAAATACTAAGCAGATATTGGTTTTTTTGAAGACTCAATCAGAATATAAATAATATTGTCATTAAAAAGCAGAAAATTAAATTGGATCCTCATTATTTTTACATATAGGTAAATATTTACCTATATGTAAAAGACAGAGAAAGTTCTAGAAGCAAAGTAGAAAAATGTAACAACTTACTTTGTTAGAGTGGTAGAATTTTAAGTGATCTGTCTTTTTTCATGCTTCCATTGTGACTTACAATGATGCTTATACAATCACAGTCAGAAGAATGTCAGATGGGAAAATTGGAGAGACTTTACCACAGGAGACTGGATAAAGATGTAATCATTGCAAGTGTGGGGCAAGGAAAGAACAAAAAGAAAAGAAGTTTGAAATAAGTATAACGCTAGAGCAGGAGAGGCTTAGGACCACTGAGGATGAGAAGGCAGGAGGAAATGTGAAGGGAAATCACTTGGTGGGAAAATAAGATGACTTTAAACATTTTAGAGATAGGGGGATGTCGTATGGGCCCTAAATTATCTACAGGCAGCTAAATAAATGGACTGTCATAAAGGTGGGGATCAAGTGAGGAGACCGTGATGTTCAAGTCACTCACAGACTTGTGGCCCTTGAGGCCAACAGGGATGGGTGAGGTCCTAAGGATGTGAAACTACAGAGAAGGAAACAGAAACCCAAGGGATGGATTCAGGAAGACATCTTAGCAAAAAGAGTGGGGCCAAAGGACAGCAAATGGCATTGCAGAGATGAGGAGGTCCAGCAAATGTGGGTAGCTTGAAAAAAAGCAAGAAATGCCAAGGGACAGAAGATTCAAAGGGAGAGGACCCAAGCGAAAGACACTGCCTGAGAATCGAAAGGCTCTCCAGCACACAGAGGAAGTGAGAACCAGGGTCTGGGGTCCTGGGGGGGGCGAGAACAGAGGGAGAGAGCCATTGAGGGGAGGGGAATTCTTCTCAGGAAATCAACAGATATCTTCCCAAGGAAGAAAAAGGGGAAGGAAGTTGTGGGGGAGGTGACTGCTGGTCTGTGGAGGGTTAGGGATTTAAAGACAATTTTCCAACACTGAATGAAAGGAGTTAGCCAAGAAATTAGGGAGCCAGGGGCCTCTGGGTTCTGTAACCAGACACGGTGCTGATTGGGGAGCATGGAACTCCAGAATGCAGAACCAAGTTGGGGTTTGGGTGACAGTTCTTTAGAGCTAATTCAGAGGGCCCCGCTTTATAGGTGACATCATGAAGGCCCTGTGGGGCTGAACTCCTGGTCTACCAAGTTTGCTTTTCAGTCCTGCAGCATCCCAGTCCTGCAACACCGGGGTGAGGCCCCAGTCCTGAGCTGGTGATTGGGACTCCACCCCCAGAATAAAATAAGAGCTCTAGGGGGCTGAGGGGAATGTGGAGTGGGGGTGGTTGTGTTAGGAGTTAATTGGACAGTTACGTAGTCAGGGCCAGGGTCCCCAACGAGAAAACAAGGAGCTGGGACAGCTAAGACGAAACTGCACCAGCTTAAACAAAACCACAGCAGCATCCCACCTAGCAGCCTCTGCAGAAGTGACTTTTGTTAATTGAACAAAACAATTAACCATAAAACATTGGTACTATCACAGCTTCACAGGTTAAGGCAGTTAGTCTCCAAATGTCAGCCCAAAAGACCATCAACACAGGAACAATAACCCGATAGGTAGACGGGTACATGATCAAAGCCCTGATTGGCACACCTTAGCAGCCAACCGACCAGTTGCAAATAAAATAGGAGGGCTCAAATGATTAGAATTTTGGAGGGAGGGGCATAAGTAAAGAAGATTTTTAGGAAAAATAAAGAAGATTTTTCAGATCACTTAAAGAGATCAAGTAGTTTCCCTGAAGTCAAGCAGCTTTGCCACACTCAAACCCAGACAGGTGCATCTGTTTCCAGAGCCTGGGTTTCTAGCCTCACAACTAGGTTGGAGGTGGACAAATGGAGGTTCTCAGAGAAAAAGGGATCTGCTGCAGGCCTTGAGATGCAGAGGAGGCGGTGGGTTCTGAGTCCTGTCTGCTGGCGGTTAGCATCTCAGCAGCCACAGGATTAAAACAGTCAAAAGGTGCTAATAGGGGTGACGTGAGAGAGCATGAGCTGTGGGACAGCAGGGTGGAGGCTAGGTTGTTGCCAGTGCTAATAAAATCTTTTATTATATCGGAGTGACTCATTTGCTTTTTAAGAATTGGAAACATGAGCAAGGAAATTGTCAGGCCAGTGCTTTCTAAAGATTTACCAACATCTCCCTCTGGTCCCCTGTTTATAGAGTAAATCACTTAGAAAAACCAGATGCTGTTTTGCTCAGGAGAAACCCTTGGGAGTTTCCCTCCTCTCTCTAGATACAGAGATCACTCCAACCCAAGCGCTGTATTTTTTAGCAGAGACCAAGTTTATTTGGAAATCCCCACATTTCTGCAGGAAAGAGAGGTTCCCAAGGTGGGAGGAAAATAAGCTCCATATTTTAGCCTTGCCTTGTTGAATGACTCTCAAGGCTATAAGAAGAGAGACAAAACAAATTGAATTTGAGCTATCTTGCCTTTTAATCTGAGGCTCATCTATTTTACTTCTAAGACAAGTGATCAGTGTTTCAGATTTCAGCCAAAATTGTGCTGAAGTCTGCTGGCCATGGTTCACAAGGAGAAAAGGTCAGGAAGGTTCACCCATTAATAAAATTCAGTGTATGTGTTCCTCAGGCCTCTAACCTTGACTTCCTGTAATTTAGGAATTAGCCTCATTTGCAAGTAGAGTCAAACAAATGTTAAGGTTTGCTGAAATTTTGTTCTGGGGGATTATTTTGTCTGTGTGCCAAAAATGTAACAGATTCTTCTCTCTCTCTCTTTTATAGCTTGTTGGAAAGGTGAGTGTTCTTACCGTACTGTGCTTCTGCCTGAAGTAATTAGCTGCGTTCTGACAAGACCCATTTGAAAGAAACTCTCAGCCCCATGGGAAAAAGGACTTCTTCCTTCTATGCTGACACTTTAATTTTGTGATTATGGCTATAGTTGTCAATGTCATGTTTCTGATTGTAAAATGGTGACACCCAGGCCCAAGCCCCTTCACACTATTGTGCTTTCTAGGTCCTGTCTCAGTTTCACAATTCAGTTTCTTTATGGAGTCGGCCCGCATTGCTGGGGAATTCAGGGACCGGGCTCTGAATGACCACGTTCTCTTGCTCTGTTGCTGACCCTGTGGACACTGGCTTCTTGGACCAGTGATGTTTCTTTTCCTGTCTCTGACCCACACACACATATTTCATCTCACCAAGTGCCCACCTCTTATACACCTGACCTTGCTGTGGATGGTCTTCCTGGGGCCTGGACTACCAGTGGGTGTCGCATGGCACCTTAGATCCCTTGGACCCCATTGCCGCTGAAGCGGTTATGTCAACGTCAAGAGCTCCTGGACTTCCAGAAGCCTGCTGAAGTAGACCCATGGGGACTTATCCCAAAAGTTTGACCTTATCCCAAATTTGGCATCATCAACTTTAATTCTGAAAAATAAACAGACCAAAAAAACCCCCCAAAACTTACACATATAAGTACCCAATGAAACTTCATGGATTTGAATTAAGTTTATCAGGTACTCTGCTGGGCACTAGGAAAAGGAGAAAATAAAAATAAATAGAAACTGGTTCTGCTTTCTGGGAGAATCTGTGACAATAGGTCAGTCTTGAAGATGCTTGCCTACCGCTTCTTGAATAATTTTTAGTATTAGGGCAAAGAAGGGAAGAATACTTAATTTTTCATATTTTACTGTTCATTATTAGCTTTGATATTTTTTCTTCACTGTAAATTCCTTGATTCAAAACATCTCTAAATCAACCTTTCCTCTCCTATTCTATTGCTGAGAACAGTGGGTTGGGGTATGGGATATTTAGAATCTAATGTGCTTGGGGAGTTAGCCAGCTTGAGGATAGTAGAGCAGCCTATGTAGGTGAGGGTGTTTGTTTTTTAAATAATCCCTTTTTCTCTTCCTGTGTTCAGACTTTAATAGCACCTTGAAAAGTTAGGTTTGATACATAGGGCAGATTCCCTATGAGGTTCCTAAAGTTCAATCACCAGAAGATTATTAGCATTGAGTTGGAAATTGCAAACAGCCCCATTTTTATAACAGCTCATTGCAAGCCTGCTGTGGTCATGTTGCTCCCTTCCTCCAGCCACCTTTGCTTTCATTTAAAAGCTAGCTTCTGAGGGTCCCTCAGGGCTCTCAGGGTCTCTCAGGGCTATGAGGGCCCCTCTCTTGGGAAACAGCCTCTTTGGCCTCCAAATGCTCATGAAGAATAATAGTCACTCTGTACCTCTCCGTGGAGCAATCGTCTCCAGGATAGATTCCTTGAGGGCAGGCTTGAATTTGGGTCATCTTTGCATGTATCTCAATGTATGTCACCCTGCATATCACCCAGCATGCTACTTAGTGAAAATTTATTGCATAAGTGGATGAAAATCTTCTGACTGACTATAGTTATTAGTAGATCATTTCTGAAGATTTTTGAAGACAGTAAACTCAAAACCCTCAAAGCTATCATTTTCTTTTATTAATTTTTTAAAAATTTTACTTACAGTAAAAATAATTTTTTGTGTGTGAGTCCCATTTCAACACATGCATAGATTCATGTAACCACCACCACGATCAGGATTCAGAACTGTTCTATCAGCCCAGGTACCCCTGTCAATTTCTTTTTAAATAGCAGGCTGATTGAGGGCTGTGAAGTCTGAGTATTATACCACTGCATATGCACGCTCTAGACTCATGTAACACTTTAACATGAACAAAGAGTTACTTGTGCGTACCTCTTGTTCTGGAGCTGGAGGCAGCACCTGCATCTCCCTAGTCCTTGGTGTGAACCAGCCTCACCCCTGGAGTAAAAGGAATGGGAAGGGCTTTTGATCAGTGAAATAACGTCATACTTCTGCTTTTCATGTTTGCAGAAAAGTGTCCAGTGTACCCAACAGAGCTGGTATTTGCCCTGGACCAGTCCTACGGTATCTCCGAACAGAGATTTAATGAAATGAGGGAAATCATTACATCCATTGTCAGTGACCTTGACATCAGAGAAAGTAACTGCCCTGTGGGAGCAAGAGTTGTTGTAGTTTCCTATGACTCAAGCACCAGCTACCTCATCCGTGGGTCAGACTACTGTAACAAGAAGCAGCTCCTCCAGCTTATTTCCCAAATGAAATATCGACCCCCCAGAGAAGCCCGAGACATTGGTAATGCAATGAGGTTTGTGGCCAGGAACGTTTTCAAGCGGACATATGCGGGAGCCAATGTGAGGAAAGTTGCTGTGTTTTTCGGTAATGGACAAGCGGCCAGTCAGTCATCCATCATCACCGCCACCATGGAGTTCAGTGCCCTGGATATCAGTCCGGCAGTCTTTGCTTTTAACGAAAGGATTTTCCTTGAGGCTTTTGAGGTAAGAACTTCTCTTGGCAACCTCTTCATGTGTAACATGGTAAGATGGGGATAGTGGCGAGTATGGGGGGTGGGATCCATGATATTACATGATACATGATACAGATATTTTCTGCAATTTCCCCAGCTGTGTTGTTGCCAGGGTCCATGAAATCCAATGTTTAATAACAACAGTAGTCAGTAATAACAGTAGCCACATTTGCTCAGCTCTAGCTGTACGCCAGGCACTGTCCCTAGAACTTGACATACATACTCACAGCCCTCTGAAGTGAATGCTGTTGTTATCTCCATTTAAAACACAGGAAACTGAGGCCCAGAGAATTTGAGTGCCTTCTCCAATTTTGTACAGCTAATAAATGGCTAAATCAAAATTCGAACTAAGGTTTGTCTGATAGAAGGGACCATGAATATGGGGTTCTGCCAGCCTCCTGCAGATCAGGTGTTTCTCACATCTGTCATCTGCTTTGCTATATCTCATTGAATAGCTGGTCTTAACTTATGATGGATGAAGTTTAGGGGATCTCTGAGCCCCTAATGTTGTGTAAAACATTTAATGTAAATGAACATATGAACCCAAGAGAGGTTTGGATTGGCAAATTCTTGTAGGAACCTATGTTTCTTCCTCTCCCCCCCGCCACACTGAAGAATTTCTCCATCTACTGTTCTATTGTTTTTAAATTTATTCGGATTGTCCACGAATGACATGCTCCTGGAGCTGGATGAAGCCATGGTGTCGTCCAAGAGGTTATAAAGGTCTAGATATATACACAAACACCTATATTTCTACTGTAAAAAGAAAAAGAAGCCCTCTATAACACAAAGAGAATCAATCTGCTCATGACAAATCCAGGTAGTTTTTGGGAATAGGAGCCACAGGGAGAGTCACAATAGAAACTGACAAAAAGGATTGAAGGAAGTCAAAGTTTTCTCTATAAAAATAATTACCTCCCAACATACTAGATTATTTACTTATTTGTTATTTTATGGTATGTGTCCCCTACTGCACTATAAGGTAGAGATTTTATCTGCTTTGTTCGTTTCTGTATCCCCAGAGCCTAGAACACTACCTATAACATTACAGGCATTCAATAAGTATTTTTTGAATGAATGAATGAGCGAATGAATGAATGAAGAGCATATGGTTTATTCCTATGAATAAACTTCCTTGATTTACCAAGGCAGCATTTAGTCTTTCCATGTGGGACAAACAAGATCAAATACAAAATAATACCCAAAGCATCCAATTTTCATTAAAAAATAGTAAGGAACTTGGTAAATGCTTTATGATTATAAGACTTGAATAATTATAAGTATTTTCAAATGCTCACTCCACACTTTACAGAAAAACAGGGTGCGGTTTTTCTAACCCTTTACCTTCCCAAGGGAGAAGGGAAAAAAGCATGAGTATCCTTGTGGATTGAGAGATACCTCATCATCACCTGGGAATGATAGGTTTCTTTCATTGTAATGAAAGTATCTGCCTTCCATGGTGCCTCAAACAGAGTAAATGCCCAATAAATAGCTATTGACTCACTGAATGAATGAGTGAATTAGAGAATGAATGAATGCTACATATTGCCCATTTCAGTAAGTATTAATGCAAGAAAAACAATCAAGAGACAGACAAAATCAGGCCATGTACTACCAAGAATTTTGAATAGACTTAGTGTCTTTTGTCTACTATCTTTGGAAATAAACTTTTAAATCAGAATTTGTGATCGAAGAAGTCCACTTGACATCTGAAAGATATACTTTCTTCTACATAGTGTTATTGGGGTGGAAATAGTTGGGATCACTGCTTAAAGAGGCCAAGGGAAACTTGTATGTAGATAAAATTTCTGCAGGATCCAACTTCAGAAGCTGATGTGTTGTACATAATCAGCTGGTGCATAACCAGAAGCATATAGAGGTGCCTGGCTGGCTCAGTTGGTAGAGCATGAGACTCTTGATCTTGGGTTGTGAGTTTGAGCCCCACATGGGGTACTTAAAATAAAATCTTAAAAAAAAAAAGCATGTACAATTCAGTGAAGAATTTCAGAATTGGAAATAAGTGTGAGATTTTAATGCTTGCCCCGGTAGGTGAATCTGATGGTTATCATGTGATATTTTTCTCACAATAAAATAAAGATGCTGATACCTGCCCTACATACTTCTTTGTGTTGTCTAGAATAAAAGGGGGATGGTGTGTGTCTGACAGAGAGAGGAAGAGAGAAGCAGAGAAAGAAAGAGAGAAGATGTACTGAATAGAGCAAAGGGCTCTAATGCAAGATAATGGTGATTAGTTAGGGGTTTTTCAAACTAATCCTTAAAGTGAGCACACAATAGCTTCCTTATAATGGTTAAAGAAAATGAACAAATAAGCATATACTTGTTTTTCATTACAGTTTGACAACACTGGAACATTTCAGGTGATCCCAGTTTCTCCAAATGGGGAGTATGAGCCATTAGAAAAATTTCAACACTGTACACTTTGCTATGGTAAGACTCATGAGAATTTATTGTGCAGCAACAAATGCCTTCTGAGTGAGTTATTAAATCTGGCTTTATCAGATATTTCTAGTTTTGAATATAGATTCTATTTTAAGTTTCCCCGTCTTCCAACACTATACATCAGGGTTTCAATTTCTGTAATATTTAGAGCTTCCAGAGAATGTGAAAATTGGTTTAAAATACCATCCCAATTGATGTGGATTTTCTTTGGGTACAGTTTGGTAGTGTGTATCAAAAACCTCCCAAATACTGAGAATAGTTTCTAAATGAGTTTAGACGTGACTTGCCGACTTCAAGCATACATGCTACCTACATCTGCTTTCTACAAAGACCTTCCCAAATTGCCTTCTAGTGGCCACAGAAATATTGGGACATTGAAAATTCTTCATTAATTTAAATAATGTGAGATTAAAGAGGTATTGATCAGATTATTATTTCTTGGTAATCAGTCACTGAATCACTTGAAAAAGATCTCAAACAACAGTGTCTTGTTGTGCAGACATTGAACCAATCATGTCTCTCTATGTGTTTTCAGATAAATGTTTTCCGAATGATTGCATCAAAGAGATTTTTTTACCTGAAAATTCATACATGGATGTAGCCTTCCTCTTAGACAATTCTCAGACTATAGCAAATGATGAGTTTAAGGCTGTGAAAACCTTGGTGAGCTCTATGATTGACAACTTCCACATTGCATCAGACCCTAGAATCTCAGACTTTGGTGATAGGATTGCCTTGTTGAGCTATTCTCCTTGGGATAGTTCTAGGAGAAAGAAGGGTGTGGTGAAAACAGAGTTTGGATTTACAGCTTACAATGACGGAGTCCTAATGAAGAGGCACATTCAGTCTTCCCTCCAACAGCTAAAAGGAGAAGCCACCATTGGCCATACCCTACTATGGGCTGTGGAGAACCTCTTCCCACAAGCGCCGAACTTGAGAAAACACAAGGTCATTTTTGTGATCTCAGCTGGAGAATATCATGACAGAAAGGAATTCTTAAAGAGGGTGGCTCTGAGGGCCAAATGTCAAGGCTATGTCATATTTGTGATTTCCCTGTGCTCTGCATATAATGAGGACATGGAAGAGTTAGCCAGCTACCCACTTGATCACCATCTGATACAGCTTGGGAGAATTCATAAACCAGATCTGGATTATATTACGAAGTTTATAAAGCCAGTTATTTATTCAATCAGACGTAAGTCATTATTTTGTTTTTCTTCTTTGTTTTAATAAATTAGTGTTTGTTAATAGTAACACATCTTTGAATCTATAGCTAACCCAAATATACAAATTAGATGGTGAGATGGGGACAGGGATGGGACACATCCTGCTTATACTTTGTTTTTCCTTGGTCCTAATGTGGTGAGACCTTTTTCATGATAGAATGTCTTTTATACAAAATCTCAGCACTAAAAGCACAGAGTGATTGGAGGTCTCTAGAGCCACACCTGCTCAACCTAAAGAAGTTTTAGCAGTCCTTTGATGAGCATTTACATAAAAGTTTGCCCACTGCACCTAGTTTATTTTCAACTGTGGCATGCCCTGGAGACCTGTATGAAGGTTTAAAGACAGCATAGACCTGTGCTTCCAGAAGAGCATAAGCATACAAATCACACAGGACTCTTATTAAAACACAAGTCCTGGTTCAGTATGTACAGGGTAGAGCCTGAGATTCTGCATTTCTAACAGTCTCCTCAGTGATGTCAATGCTTCTGGTCCAAGAATGACACTTTGAGTAGGAAGGCTTGAGGCCAATGCCCTACAAAATGTCACCCATTAGATGGATAATACCCACAAACTGATCTGCAAGAGAGAAATACATAAATTGAGAATAAGCATCTGCGAACTTTTTTTTAAATTTTATTTTATTATGTTATGTTAGTCGCCATACAATACATCATTAGTTTTTGATGTAGTGATCCATGCTTCATTGTTTTTGTATAACACCCAGTGCTCCATGCAGTACGTGCCCTCCTTAATATTAATACCCATCACCAGGCTAATCCATCCCCCCACCCCCTCCCCTCTAGTACCCTCAGTTTGTTTCTTAGAGTCCATAGTCTCTCATGGTTCATCTCTCCCTCCGATTCCTCCCTTCATTTTTCCCTTCCTTCTCCTAATGTCCTCCATACTATTCCTTATGTTCCACAAATAAGTGAAACCATATGATAATTGACTTTCTCTGCTTGGCTTATTTCACATAGCATAATCTCCTCCAGTCCCATCCATGTTGCTGTAAAAGTTGGGTATTCATCCTTTCTGATGGCTGAGTAATATTCCATTGTATATATGGACCACATCTTCTTTATCCATTCATCTGTTGAAGAGCATCTCGACTCTTTCCACAGTTTGGCTATTGTGGACATTGCTGCTATGAACATTGGGATGCATATGGCCCTTCTTTTCACTATATCTGTGTCTTTGGGGTAAATACCAGTAGTGCAGTTGCTGGGTCATAGGGTAGCAATGTAGACATTGCCACAGCATACAAGTGCATGAACAGTGTACTCTGTCTCATATAACAAGATAGAAACCACAAGTGTCAGTCTGCAAAGGATTAGGAATAAAAATACCTTCCCCACAAATGGTTTGAGAAACTCTCTTAGAGCAGTGGTTCTTGATTGGAAATGATTTTGTCCCCCCAAACATTTGGAAATGTCTGGAGATACTTTTTTTTTTGTCACAACTGAGGGAGAGGGAGAGGATACTAGTATCTCGTACGTAGAGACCAGACATGATGCTAAACATCCTACAATGCACAGGATACCCCCCGAAAAAAAAAAAAGATACAGCCCAAATCGTCAATAGCCCTGAAGTTGAGAAACCCTGCCCTAGGGCATCCTACAGAATCAGGGCTGACCCCTTTCTTTCTGGGACTCTACCAGGTTTAGACCTAGGTTCTGTTGGAACCAAACCTACCACACTTTAAAGTCCAAAGTGGCCCTGGTATTCAAGGAATCTCCAATAGCACTATCATGACAATATCTTGAGAGTTCACTCTCCATTGCAGAGAGGGCTCCACCTTTTTGCTGTAACTCATATTTGATTGCAAAATCCAGTAACTTCCCCCTTGGGAATATCATGTTATTTCTTTAACTCTAAATGCCTTCAATTGTATGATACACCATTATATTATGTAAAAATAAATAAAAAGTGCTTCCGATTAAATGTTGATACCAACTTGCCTATCTGCAAACTCTAGTTTTGTATTTTATAGTAACTGAAGAGTTCTTTTAGACAGACTGGCAGATGTCACTCTTGTGCATGCATGAACAGGGAATATGTGTGAAATAGACTGGTGGGGGCATCCCTAGCACTTCTTTACATTCAAAACTGGACTCCTGTGAGCTATTTCTTGACTCCAATTCACTGAGATCTATCTTGTTCAATGCAGTATTGTTCTTTATGTCATCAAGATTGATGGCGACACAGCACTTTTAAAAAACTCTATAAAACAATTCAAAGCTGGTCTTGCTGGGCTCTTAAGTTAGGCTTTGCAATGATTGGAGCTAGCTTACTTTTGATTGCCACCTGAACAATGTTGGTAAATATATCCAGTTCAGTGCCTTCCCATAACCACTTGGTTCGTAGTGGTTAAAAGACCCCTCTACTAATACTTCTGGGGATTATTCCTAAACTACTGCCCTCATTCTACAAGTTTTGGTACCGGCATGTTTGCTGCTCCCACATGCACAGGCAATGCATCCTGTATCACTGTTCCCGCCTTACTAAGGCACCTGGCAGATGCAATTGATTAGAAGACTTAGTCTATTTCAGAGAAATGGGGGGTGGGGGGTGGGTGGGGAATGCTCATCTTAGAACAAGAGAAGTACAATTGTTATAAAACCATAAACATTCTCTGAGATATTTTCATGGAATTGTGGATCATTCCATGGCCAAAAGCCTCCTTTAACTAAAAAGTATTTTCCTGAATGAATAAAAATAATGATATACTTTTTAATATAAAACAACAGTGGGAAGGGAATAATGGAGCATATTATTTAGGTCAGTAAGCCAAAATCTTTTTTCTTTGATTATTTTCCTCCTAGGAAATTGGTGTTAATGGGTACAGAAGAACAGAAATAGCAGCATGTAATAAAATGCTACCCTTTCTATGTTTGTTCTATTAACAAAAACCCGAGTGAAAAACTTGACAGATTCAGAATAAAATTTCCCTTAGATTCTGTTAGCCTGAGCATGTGGAAATCATGTGTTTCTGCATCACAATTAACCTTAAATGAACAATCTGAGGAGGTTTGTTTTCCATGAGCCTACTAATTCTTTGGCTGCAAAACATTCTAAAATCAAGTTTTAAATGCTGTTTCTAGTTGCTACTATTTTCTGCTTCCACCCTGGCCAAGTTTTGCTGAAACATTGTAGTGACATTGATTGCTTCAAGAAGATTCCTTTTGGGATTCTTTTTCCTTAGCAAACATAATTTCTGATTTAAAAACCTAACTCTAACTTTGCTCTCTCCATAGGAGGATTCAACGAGTACCCACCACCAGTGCTTGAGAATGCCTGTAGACTCATCTCAAGAGGAGAAGCTTATCAAAATAGTGATCTTCTGTGAGTTAGAAATCTCTTCTATTTACAAGCGACTGTTAATTGACTGATGGGTGTATAATTGCTGATGGCAGGTTATTAGGTTGAGGAAGCTAATAAGATCTCTCAAGTAAAGTCTTCCCATGTATTCCATTTTCTGTAGCAGAAGCTTCACAGCAAGGATGCTTTATGGATTGATGTTTCTATAGCATCCTCATGAGCTGTATTACAATTTTGCCTTTCAGTTCATGGTTTCCTGAGCAGTTCCCACATTGAAATCTATCCCAGAATAGAACCCACAATATAGCCTTAGCCATTGCGACCTCACTTCCCATCTCTCTCCAGGATCAGAACTCAATTCTGGCCACGATGGACTCTTGTCTGCCTTGTGTGAACAGTTGCTTCACCCTCCTTGGTCTTGGGTCACACCACTTGGAACCCTGTCCCTTCCAGTGAAAGCTTACCCAACGTCCATGGCCCTGACGGAAGCTATCTCCTCTTTGAAGCCCATTTTTACTTTGAAAATCGTTACTTTTGTGTACCTTCTTATACTTCTGTGGAGGCAGTTATTACAGTTTATCCCAATGTCTTGTCTCAGTGAAGTCTGGGGTTACATACAATTCATTGTTTCATCCCCCACAAAAGATAGCATAAAAGATCCCACCATGTAATTGCACATATAAGTATTTTTTCTTAAAATTGTATCCTAAGTAACAATATAAATAATCTGAATAAATCTTGAACCTCAAACAGAATGAGTGGCCCATTTGGTTTCTCTCTGCTTCTCTGTATTTCCCCAAGCTTGGATCCCTAACTGCAGCCTTGCAAAAACCCAGATTTAAGCCCGTAATTACTTCTTCTTCTCAGATTGCAATTAAGCAAAGAGCTTCTCAGTATAGATAAGGTCTCTTACACACATCCAGAAGCACAATGGCAAGATGAAGCGTGCTCAGAATTCATTCAAGTACATATTCCTATAATGTCAGATTTCATTCACTTGGCAGTTTAGCAAGGAAGTGTCCAGCTGCCAACACCTGAAGAACAATATGGCACTGATGTCATGTGAAGCAATATTTCCCAGCATTGAATAGGTCATAAATTCATTTAAAGGCAAATCAATTCTTACAGAACTGCAGACAAAATATAATGTTATTCAGATACATACAAACATAAATATAGCTGCAAATACTCTGTTTATAGTTCTTGTGCAACTATCAGACTAAAATAAATGTGCATCGAATCCAAGCAAACTCAGTGAAACACAAATTTAAAACACTAATTTAATAATGGATGATTCTGCTTTGCCAAAATAGAATTCCTGAAAACTGAAAAAATGTGGTAAAAGAAATGTAAAATATGATGCGTGTTGCAGAGGTATGCCTGCTTTCAGGCTGCCTACTCTGTCGCATGATGCCTTAATTCCTCACCGCTGTCTTCTCCTGTATTCTTGCAGAATTGTCATTCATATTGTGTGTCATATCATTTGGCTTTAGCTTTGTGTGAATGTATTATTCATGTATTATGTCTGACTTTTTTCCCTTTCCTCATTAACTCCCAACAGTTAAAGTAATATTGCCAGGTGCCAAATACTAGTATCAAATACAGATATGAACATGGACATTGAATGACATAAAGGTGCATAAATAGAACAAAAATAAGAATCAACTTATATTGACTATGTTTTCTAACATCGTCTAAATAAAAACACATTCTCAAATTATCACAGAGAATTCTTAAAGTCCTAAAAATATAAATGTAGACACCATTTTAAGAGATCTGATGTCAATGAGATAAGTTTTGTATAATCTTATTCTTCTCAGAACAGTTCTCGATTTCTGTTTTCTCTGTTTTCTATGGGGAGTGACATCAATCTGAGAGATTGTATGGTTGTTCCAAATAACCTATGATCGAGTTTCCTGTCATTTATCTAAAACTCTGTGGCAAATCAGACTCAATTTATTCCAAAATAATAGTTATTAGGCTATAAGCAGATGAGGGAAAAGGAAGGCTAAATGGGAATTGTTTATTTGTCAGTTTATTCTTTTTAATAATAACAAATCTTAATAATTTTATTGAAAGGAATTTAGATATTTACCACTTGGTTTTTTTTCTAAGAAATGATTAAGTAACTATATCAAATTGTTGAGATATTTTATTTGCATTCCCCAAAGCTACCAAGATTCATCTCAAACTTTTGTTTTTATCTGCTAGATTTACTCCTGAGCCATATGAGATTTCTTCAGGAGAGAACAGCTTCATTGGCCAGGAATTAAGTGCTGGGAAAGACTCCTCCTTCATGTGGGAGGACAATGGAAGTAACCATTTGGTTTACATACCAAGCCACATGCTCATGCCACAAGAATTAGCGATCACATATGAAAAAGGTCAGGATTCTGAAGAAATTGCAAGTTTAACTTCTGGTAAGGAAACAAAAAGTTATGATGGAATTTTTAAATAACGGGGTCTTCGTCTTCTTTTTGTTTTAAAGATTTTATTTATTTATTTGACAGAGAGAGAGAGAAACAGCAAGAAAGGGAACACAAGCAGGGACAGAGGGAGAGGGAGAAGCAGGTTTCCCACAGAGCAGGGAGCCCGATGTGGGACTCGATCCCAGGACCTTGGGATCATGACCTGAGCTGAAGGCAGACGCTTAATGACTGAGCCACCCAGGTGCCCCTAGGTCCTCGTCTTTTAATACTAGCAGAGAATCAAGTAAATGAAGGCTGTTCTCTAAGGCAAATTTTTTCAAGTTCAAGATGGTAGCTACAGCCACTGCTTTTGTTGAAAATGAAGGTTTACATGGTGATAGGCACCACTGAGATGACCAGTGATATGAGCTCTAAGAAATGTCCCTGATGTTCTCACCAGGCTTAAGATTTCTCTAGAAGGTTAGTGTGATGTAGAAGGAAACAATACAGAGAACATCGGAGCAAAGGACAGATTAAAATCACTTTAAAAGCTGGCTGGACCAGTGCCTCGGACTCTGTGATTGCATGAGAAGGTATGGTATTTTTGAGGTACTTGGAAATGAGAGAGCACAGACCGTCCCTCTGCCCTGCTCTCTACATTTGAGTGGCAAAGCAAGAATACCTTCTGGCAGAATTTAATAGGTTTCAAACAAATCAGATACATAGGATTTTTGTCTGTGTTTTCATTAAAAGGGAGGACATTCTAAATAGACTTCAACCATTTCCAGCTATGCATGTAGAGGCTTCCAAAATGCTCATTTTGCCAGAATAACAGCATTGAAAGCATTATGTCTGAAGTATCATGTAAGTTGTTAGATGATGCAAGTTTAAAAGAAAAAGGGGCCAATTTCATGCCAGTTATTCCTAAGAATGAATCACATTCATTCTCAGCAACTTCCTTGGATAAATACCTTTTCTTTTCCTTGGGTTCAACACTCACATCCCCACACTGTCCCCCTATTTATGAAAGACCAATATTTGCACTTTCACTTTAAAACCACTGACTTTTCAAAGCTAGAATTAATAATAAAAAAGTCAATCATTAGTTGGAAAATAGGCTTAAAAAAAGACGTTAATGCAGTAAAACGAAATGTCTGTAGTACCACGGCATCAAGGTATTCATTGTGTATATTTTTTAGTTAAACAATTTTTATTATCATATAGACATAGCTTAAAGAAGAGAATAAGATATTTCTTCTTTTGGGTGTTCATTTCAATGTTATGGTGCAGGAATTTATTATGGTTTGGCTTAAAAAGAAAAAAAAAACGTTGTTTGGCATGGTTAGAATACCAAATTATCAATTGTGATCATTTTGTTAGAGGTAAGCATCCTAAAGTCTAATAACTCAGAAATGTGAATCTTTTCGGGAAAAGACAGATATGATTGGATATTTAAGAAAAAAAGAAAGAGGGGCACCTGGGTGGCGCAGTCGTTAAGCGTCTGCTTTCGGCTCGGATCATGATCCCAGGGTCCTGGGATCGAGCCCCGCATCTGGCTCCCTGCTCAGCGGGAGGCCTGCTTCTCCCTCTCCACTCCCTCTGCTTGTGTCCCCTCTCTCTATTAAATAAATAAATAAAATCTAAAAAAAAAGAAAAAGAATTCATCTTTGTTGCCATTTTTAACAACCATTGTTTAGTAATAATAGAAAGACTTTTTTTCATTTGGTTTACCAGATGTTGGGGAATCAAGATGCTTGTAGCCAGGGGAAGGTTTATTTTGGCTGAAGAAATCATTGTACATGGCTCTACTAAGAAAAAAATGTAGATTATTAGTTGCCCTTCTCCACTTCATTTCTCCTGCGGTGGGTTGAAGTGTGCTGGGAGTTCCCTGGAGGATTATGTAATGTTGTGGTAGCCTGCAAACAGTGTGAGTCTCAGACTTAAGGATAATAGATATTTTTTATCCTCTAAAATAAATCTGAGTTTCACATCACAAGCGTTGTCTAGGGATTTTGTGCTATTCCTTCCTCCCTTCCTTCCTCCCTTCCTTCCTCCCTCCCTCCCTCCCTCCCTCCCTCCCTCCCTTCCTTCCTTCCTTCCTTCCTTCCTTCCTTCCTTCCTTCCTTCCTTCCTTCCTTCCTTTCTCATCTTTAGCCAGTTGCCAAAACCTACTGAGGACTTTCTATATAATGTGCCATCCTCATGGAGAGTACATTGTGTGGTTCAAATATTTTATTCCAGTTGCTAAGAGATGAACTTTGATTAGTTCCAGATGTATTGCACAAATAAAATGTTGATAACTTGCATAAGCACCTCCATATGCCATGCCTGTTCCTCATTTATAATGTGATTCTTATGTCTGAGGGCTGATCTTTCTGCCCTTGGAACTGAGAGTCCTGGGGAAAAGTCGGGAATCTAAACCATTTAAGAAATGTATAGTTTCCAGAGTTCTGTGGGCTGGTAATGAGTTGTGTATCTTCCACGAGAAGCACAATCACTATCTATCTATGCCTCTCCTTCTGCTTCTTACTACCTGCTCTGATTTCCAAGTTCGTCTTCAATCCATCACCTTCCCTGGCCCTCTCCAATCCTTATAGCAGCTGAAGGACAGTCTGTATCAGAATCACCTGCAAGTCCTTCATAATTGCGGGTTGCTAAGCCCTCCTCAGAATCACTACTTCATATTTAGGGGTGTGAGTGGTAAGGAAAAGGCTAGAAACTTCAAAACCACCATAGGTGATTTTTGTATGTCTGCAAATTTGAGATCCACTATCCCAGGGATTCTCAAAATCTGGTCCCTGCATCAGCAGTACCAGCAGCATCAGCAGAAACTGGGAACTTATTAAAATGCAGCTTCTCAGCACACATCCCAGCCCAACCAAATCAGAAACTCTAGAGCTGGGGCTCAGCAATCTGAGTTTTAACAAGCAGCAAAGGTGGTTCTAATAGAGGTTGTGTTTTAAGAACCACTGCTCATCCTACCACTTTGGCATGCCGGATTTGCTCTGCGATTCTCAATGGAGCTGAAAGAAATTGAGTACCTAGTACCACAGAACAGAAGTGGGAATTCCTATTTCCAAAGGATTCCAGGTGAACTGCATTATAATTTTATTTTACTCATCTAAAACCACTGAACAGTCATGCTTCCCTCCATCCAACATCTAAAAACACCACTTTTTAAGATCTAAATATATAGAGATAATATCATGAATTTTGACCACAACATGTGCAATATAAAAATTCTTTGGAAAATTCAGTCCTTCTTAATTACTTACCAATGGAATACACATAGTTCTCTGGAATTATGTAATGAAAAATGGATGGTTTAATTCTAATTAAGTTGCAACTGTTGACCCAGTTACAAGCCTAGCACTTTCATCAAAGATACTAGGTTAACCAATATTTAAGATATAATTAGTTGACTTTCAATATTAAAGGACAAGATAATTTGTATTGAAATGTTAAATACCAACACAAACTCAGCCTGAGGCTCACTCATAGCTTTAAGGGGGTCTCAGGCCATAGGATAACATCATTTCAATGAATTTCACTGAGAAATGGGAAGTAACACCTCTCCCTTTCAACTAGCCTGGAATTGTGCTTTGGGGAATTTACAGAGGCTCTGTTTTACATTTTTTATTTTTCTAACCTTAATCTGATTCTGATCTACAAATCAGCTTTTTTTTTTTTTAAACCAATATGTCTTTTGACTTTGATTCAATCACAGGGTATTAGAGCTGGAAAGGTATTTAGTGATCACTTCTTGCAAATTCACCTGGGGGTAATTGCACTCTACCCACCCTGGGAGACATATTTCAATGTCTGGAGACAGTTTTTGTTGTCACACCTGGGAGGTGCTACTGGCATTTAATGGACAGAGGCCACAGATGCTGCTAAACATCCTACAATGCCCAGGACCTTCCCCTCACAACAAAGAACTATCCTGTCAAACTGTCAATAGTGGGAGAAACCCAGTTTTAGAAGAAACTTCATGCCTGCAAGTTCATTCAGGAAGATTCATAATGGGGACTCACAATTCCTACACCCTGTCCACTATTTCCCCGTTATACTGTCAAGATTCTGCTAATTTTTAAAAAATTATAAAAGTACTATCATATATAAAATTTGAATACAAAGAATCTCAAATCAAATAATTGAGCAAAAGCTATTTGTAGTGTGGAATATATTCTTTGGTTTTTCCATTGGTCTATAGATTTACATCATTTCATTCAATTGGATATCCTGCTTTTCAGATCATATTATGTCATACATTTTACGTATTGCTGCAAGCTTCATACTGATTTTCTGTATCTCATAATGTTACTTTCAATGAATGAATTTATTTATCTCATTGAACACTTAGCTTGTTTCTAATTTTTGCTGTCATGTATTGAATTTGAATATATTATCTTGACTTCTGCTAAATTCAAATCTGTCCTGGACTTAAGTGCAGCAGAATTGGCTTCTGAGTCACCTGTGGAAGACCAGCTGAATGTCCTACTTTCATTTCAGTATACATTCTAAAGAGGAGGTCAGTAATAAAACTGTGGTCATATCTGAATTTTAATGACATGTTTCATGAACTCTTTAGGAAATTGCAACCACCTTGATGTTCTCTGGGGAATAAACTGAGTTTCCTGATTTTTTTTAAACTATAGACTGAGGTTGTTGCATTTACTTTTACTTGGGAATTTATTATATTGTTATTACAGTTTTGGTTGTCTTCCATGAAGGTTTTGCAGTGGACAAAACTGATGCAACATGATTGTTTGGCGTATGTGGACTATTTGAATTCAAGTGAGGTTTCTGTATGTCTCAAGCAATCATTTATTGCAAGTGATAAAGCAGTGTTCTAGAATACTAGTGACATTTTTTTTCATGTGGACCCCTTTCTTATGGAATAAAACTTGGATACTTGTAGTAATTGGGTGATAGTGGTGGTGTTAGAGGGGGTTGTGATGACAGTGTTGGTGCTAGTTGCGGTGATAGTGAAGACAGTGGTGGTGAAGGTG